TCTTCTGTAGGATTTGCATGTCTCTGCCATAACCCCAAATTTGGGATGATTCACTTCTTGTTGTCACTTTTTATTCCTTTTTGGGGTGGTTTGGGCTCTTTTCTTCTTGGTGATTAACTCTTTTTTTCCCCTCTTTTTTTTCCCTCTTTTTTAACTTATTGAAAACCTAGGCAGTTTCAGCGTCGAAAATGGCCCGACATGAAGAGACCTTCTAAGTCACTGTGAGTTGAGAAGCCATTTTACAAATACAACAGTAATTCTGATTTATTTCATTTTGCAAATCCTCCTTGTTTTCATGCCATTTTTCAGCTTCCAGTAATATTGGTCTTGGCCTCAAATGACAAGAGAAAGAATGTATCTTTCATTTTATTTACTCACAATAGCTCCATCCCAGGTCCCTTAAAAACTATTTTATGCAAAACAAGAAATGAAGCATTCCGTAACCCACCCCTCTTAAAAGAAAAGAAATTGCTTTTAAGCAATAATCCTGGATCCCCAAAGCTATATCAAGCAGAGTACAAACCCAGGCAGGTCCTGTATTCATTTTGGAAGGCTTCAGATATGGTTTGGCCATGGTTCCTTTGATCCAAAGAATAACTGTGTAGTCAAGTTCAGAGAAACTACTGGCTTCAGGGTGAATGTTTTAAAGATAGCCTACCAAGTTGTACCAAGAAATCAGGGATCCTTGTATGATCACAGTATTTCCTAAAAGTGGGGATTATATGTAACCACCTGTTCCCCTTGTGGAAAATGAATTTGAATATGAAATGAAAGGAAGCATTAGTGTGAGGCTCTAAAGATATGATATAGCAGTGTCTACTACCCTACCAACCATAATGATATGCACAGCTTTAAGCTTGTTGATTCCCTCCCCAGCTTAGTTCTAATGTGAATCTACTATGTTAAAATGACACAGTGGATTTAAATGAATCCTATGGGAAATTAATGGCAGGACAATAACACTAATGACTTTAACATTCTTAGCGTGACCAGAGTCACATAGGATGACTAGGCATGAGGTTGTGAGTATCCATATTGATGAGCCTGCACACACATTGGAATTAAACATCTTGATTTTAATACCATCATGATAAATAGTTCTGCTATAATGCTTGTTTCAAAAGCATGAATTTGTTCCAACTCAATACATTAGGATATATATATATTATTATATATTATATGCATATATATATTAGACTCTAACTCTGCAGTTATCACCATGTTTCTTTTCCCTCTGAGGAAACTATTTTGGTTCTCTGTATTTTGAGTTTGTTTATGCTGTTTCTTCCACAAAGAAACAGCAAGAAAATGCAGAAAACTGCACCACTTCACAGTAACTAACTCACAAGTTGCAACCTTTCAAACCCCCACTTCCACAAGCAAACTTCAGGTCTTTTTTTAAGGTACAGTGTACCATATTGATTGTCTGTCTTATGGTGCAGCAGGAGCTGTGGGCTGAGGAGGGCTGGTTCGCCCTGTAGTAGCAGCTCATGTGCTGTGGACACTGCCATTATTTATTGTAGTATTATATTTATTATATTATATTATATTTATTGTAGTATTCCTTAACCATTTAACATGTATAAAACTCTGCTACTTTTATCAGATTCCAATCTTTTTTTAATGTGCCACCAACAAAGTTCTTGAACCTTGTGCCCTATAACCCTATTTTCCCCATAAGCCACATGGTTTTTAATTGCATGATTTTGCAATACTAAGGTGCTTTTTGGGAACACACACATCATAGCAGAACTGACTGTAGTTACTATAAAAGTATTAATTGACTAAAAGTTAGGATAGAGTAAAAAAAAATATCCATTTGGTAATATTGATAAAATCATCATTTTAGGAGCATATATAAAGAAATGCCCCCATCTTTCTTTGGTGCATAACAAACACCCTCTTTCCCAAGGTCAAGAAAACCCAGACTTGTTACTTGGAGAGTAACATAACATCTGCAAACACTATAGCATCCTAATACTGATACTTTTTTTTGGGGGGCCTTAACAGAGGACAACTATGGGAAGGATGGGAAGGCTAAGCTCCAAAAGCTGGTTCTCAAAGAAGAAAGATGTCCACTGGCCAGAAAGCCAAACTTTTTACAGATACTGTGTATGATTTCAGTAAGACTTCCACTGTTGTACCGGAGAAACTTTGGGGCTGAGGTAGGTAGAACATGCCACTGTTAACATGCTATAAAGAGATCTAGTGGATTCTAGAGGACATCCAGAAAGAACAGGGATCCTTTTAGAACTCCACTGGCACACCTGCTTTTGCTTTGGACTATATACCTCACCAGCTGCACAAAAAGCATTTTTATTCCAAGAAGTCACCACTAACACTGAGTCACTGAAGGGAAAAAGAATCTGAAGTGTCATACGGTATCCAACATTGGAAACCCCCCCAAGGGCAAAATCCACAACAATTTTTTAAACTACAGTGAAACTCCATTTCAAACACTTCATAAAAAATAACAGTTGAGAAAGAAGGCTCTATCAAGTCAAGTGAAACAGAAACACTGCACCTAAAAAAATGGACTTTTTTTTCCTTTTTGCTTAACATCAGTGTAAGCACTGAGTAGACAACAACCAGTATAAAGATGTCACAAGAGACTGAAGAGCACTGGGAAGAAGTGGACACACATTCACCGTGTTTCTTGTTTCCTCTGAGGAAACTGTTTTAGCTCATTGTATATATGTATGGCCAACCTATTACTTATCAATTACCAATTTCAAGATGGGCAGTGTAAATAAATATTCAATAACGTTCAAGTCAAAAGGAAATTCCTTAAAGTTGTGAAGATTTTTGTCAATAAATTGTGGAATGCCCAGATACCGTTTCTTTAAATGTTGCCTTGTTACCACATAATTCCAGGACTGACCTTTTTCAAAGCACTGCAAAGAAAATGCAGTTAATGTATGTCCTGAGTTTTAATGAAATCCTATTTGTACAGAAACATTTTTAGTGTGAGTATTGTATTGTTCACAAACCCAAACCATTGTATTGGGGGGGGGGGGGATGCGATCTTTGTGTTTTGGTTTTGTTTGTTTGGACTTTTTTTGGGAGGGAAGGAGGAGGATTTCATCATACATACACTCTGTGAAGATATAGTAAGCAGCATGGAGGGACTTTCTGATGGGGAAATTTTATTCTGAAATTTCTTGATGCCAGAGTTTCAATGAACAATTGTAAAGCTTTTCCCTTGGTTGTAAAGACAGTGAAAAACATAATCCAGTCTGAGACTGTAAGGGCGCTATCCCACTCCTATTTAAAAGATACTATCTCTTAAATGTCTGACTTAGCATCTACAGTCATACTCCTTCTTAGCTTTCTTATGAGTTAATTGCTATACACAAGAATGGAAGGAAGAGAAATTTATCATTACTTACATTTTAGAGTTCTTAAATGCCATAGCTAAAAGGGAATGTAAAGACCAACCACACCTTTTAGTAAAAGGTTTCTTCTTACCAGATGTGTGAATTCCATGTGTTACTTAATAAGCCAACTGGATGAAAAGTGCTGAGTAAAATTGTCAGGGTCCAGCTTTAAATAGAAACCTTTATTTACATTGACATTAACATCCAAAATAACAATCAGAAAAGCAGTCATAGCTTACAACCCAGCCATCTTATAAATCATCCCATGGGGTTTGGATTTTTTGCAGTGTAAAGAAAGATACAGATATTTCAAGCAATACTTAATGTAAACTACATTTAAATTTAATTCATTCTCAATACTGTAAGCCTTCTCCTGAGAATTTTTAAATATTGCTCTCAGAATTACATACAATTTTATGATTGCTGTATCATTTCCACCATCTTTAAAATTCCACATATTAACCAAAAAAAAAGAAAGAAAAAAGAAAAAAAACCACCCCTGCACATTACAAAATGTAACATTCAAAAGGTTTGCCTTATAGCAGGGGGAAAAAAAAGCTCTCCCTTGCTGTTCAACACAAATATCTGGGATGCTATAAATTTTTTAACTAGCTCACACGTGTGCAGCTTCTGTGGCTAAAAGGAGACCAGATGGACAGGTAGTAAAAGTGACTTCCCTGCAGCAGGTTAAAGTGGCCACTGCTAGCATTCAAATGGCCTCACTTCCCAAATCAAAGAATTTTCCTAACAAGTGTTTTTTCTGTGGAACTAAATTGGGGGAAAAAAAATCCCACCCCAACCCATCTCTTAGATATTAAACACTGACGTACTAAGCAGTGCTGTTTATATTCTACACTTCCTTCTGTCCAGATAAATGATTCATAAATGGCATTGTCAAGAGAAAATCATTAACAATGCAATTTCTTTTTTTTTAAAGGAAGGAACATTTATTTCTTTTACATCACATTTTGAGCTTTGTAAAAAAAAATATATCTTTGGATTCAGCAAAAAGTAAATACTGGTAATATCCAACATTCTAAAATCAGATGATGTTAGGATTTCTTGTACATCCTTCAGGTACTATATTTTAGAAAAAGGACACAGGAAAGTAGAGGAGGGAGTCAGAAAAATATCAAGAGAATTTTTCAAAAAAAGTAAAAAGGGCAGGATGTACAAAGCCATCAACATCTGCAGGTTTCACCAGCATAACGAACAAGTATAAAATGTTTGAAGAGTCTGGCAGGTTTCATACTGAATATAAAAAGTAGGGAGAAGAGAGCTGCCTTCCTTCCAGTGCCTGACCATGTAAGTCTACCCTTGGAATCAGTTCTGAAGAGACCTCAAAGAGGTGAGGGTGCAGCGTTTAGAACAAAAAAGGTAAGAGCACCATTCTCTTTGTTAAAGACAAAGTTGTAAGTCAAACAAGGGAAACTTACACACCCCAAGAATAGAATACATGTCTTAAGGGGTGGTAAGAAAGTACTTGATTTCCCTAGAGAGGCAGCTGGGGGCACAGGGGGTAAAGCACTGGGTCTGAAATCAGGAAGACCTGAGTTCAAATCCAGCCTTAGACTAGCTTTGTGACCCTGGGCAAGTCATTTAACCTCTATCTGCCTTGGTTTTCTCATCTGTACAGTTGGGATAATAATGGCACCTATCCAAGATAATATTTGTAAAAAGCGCTTAGCACAGTGCCCAGCTCAAAGCAGGTGCTATAAAAATACTTCTTCCCTTTCCCCTACTATAAATATAGCTCTCTAAATGAGGCAAGTTGATGGTCTTGAAAGTGCAGTTCTCTAAAGTTCATATATCTACTGTCTTCAGATATGGATCAAGTTTGTGGGAGAGTGGGGTGTTATGTTTTTGGCGGGGGGGAGAGGGAATAAGAAAAGAGATCCATTAAAATAATCTCCATCTTACACCCACATACATTAGCGTTAGGAGAGAGTGGTGGTTGTCACTAATTTTAAGTCAGAGCTTCTAAAAGAATTTTAGACACATATTAGCATTCCAATTGTTCCCATCCCCATTTTAATGACAGCTTTGGAAATGCATGTTTGCACTACTAGAGACTTACTTTCAGGAATTTGGTGAAAACTAACTTATTGCCAACTCCCATGTAAATATGGCAAACAAGAATGTCAGAAATATTATAACAAACCCACTGACAATGCCAAAACTCAAGTTTGAAATTTAGGACTAAAATAACAAGTGACCTGCATAAAATGGTTTTAAGTTGTATCTTTCCTTCCCTTCCACTGACTACCAACTGGAGCTGGTATCTATAGACAAAAACAAGACCCAGTGGGCAGTTGTCATATCTGATACATGGATAATCAAGAGTTGACATTAGAAACCAAAGTTGTAATTCACTAAAGGGTTAGAGCTGACCAGAAAAAAGCCAGCTTTGTTCACAGGGGCATAAAGAAAATAATAATCCTAGCTGTGGTGTTAACAAAAAAGGCTAAGACAACATTGAAAATTAACACAAACTCCTAGTAACGAACAGGCTGCTGTTTACATCAGTTCAAAGCAATGACAAAACCTATGTCATTCATCCACTCCCTGACTAAAAAGGCAACGTGTTTAAGTTTAAAAAAAAAAAATATCCTGAATTGCTGTCATACAATTCATGGAGAGCTGAAAAAGGCAGAGAGCTCTTTTTCTTGTCGGATCACACTATATTTTTAAAAACTAAAGTAATACCCTCCCCCCACCAAAAAAAAATTAACAAAGTGCTTAGTTCAGGTGGAGAAAACAATTACAACTGCCTAACCCTAAACAAATCGTCATTTTAGAAAGCTATTTTTTTTTTTAAAGATGGAAATGAATGAGGTGTCCAAGACCAAAGGAGAAGGGAAGCTAAAGGCTGCCACCATGCCCCACCCCAACCCCTCCCAGGTCATTAAATTAAAAATGTCTTCTATTTTTTACCTCACTATGCTGAGCTTACAGAAATCAACACTGTTAAATATTTAGCTTCACAAACTCTGCAAAAATGAGTTCTTGTGACCTACAAAAGTCATATATATGTACACATAATACAATATCTTAATGATTGTATTTACAAAAACCTATTCACAGAAACAGACCGCAAATTTCTGATTCAGACTGCAGTACCCGGCCTTGGGTTTTCTGAAATTGATTTTCAAAAAGGATTATTGCTCTACCATATAGGCAAAGTGTGACATTATCCAGTCCTTTCGAGTGAGTTTACAGTTCCTGCCCGGTGGATTAGCTCGGACGGAGAACATGAGAGCTCGCCATAAGACCTCAAAAATATTGCATTAATCCATTACTTTCTAGATAAAGTGCATTCGGCTGCACATTAGCATGTAAATATTAGCCACTATTGCAATTAAATACTGTAATTTCCATTTTCCTTTCTGCAAAGCCATTTGTCATCAGTCATAATGTGGAATATTAGATGCTAGTGGTAATCCTAAAAGAATTAGAGGGCATAACCATCAATGGTGGTGGGGAGTCCAAAACCCTTATCAAGTTGAGGACATGACCTCAAGCATTCTGATTAACTGTGGATAAGAGGTTAAGAGAGAACTGTTCACCAATGAAAAAAGGCCTCAAGGCTGGGAACTACATTCTGTGTCAGACATTGCTACTAGAGAAACCAGACTTTTCTATCCCACAACTTCTCCACTTTCTTTGGCCTGCCTACATTTAAAGGGCTTTGGATAGCAAGGCAGAAAGAAATAATAACACACAGGGAGTCTACCATATTTACTAAAATGCCATTGCCAGATTCACATCTCTAGAGGCAGAACGCCAAAAATATTTATGTCCATTGCTTAATATACCACAATATACAGAAAAACAGGTAGACAATATTTTAGCTCATGACCCAGATCTGTTCAAATGAAGTTACTTGGAATACCTTAATGAAGATTTGGGGGAAGTAGGTCCTTTCCGTGAGATGTCACTAACAAACAATGTGTAACCCCTTATTTTACCTCCTGAAAATACTAGTGCAGAGACTTTTGTACAGTGATTTTCAGCGGGAGGTTCTGGACTTCATGTGTCAGCAATATTTCTGCAAATAACCACAGGGAAAAGGAGTTAAAACATCTATTTTGCAAAATTCAAAAACCCATCTTTTTTACTTGTAAATAGTAATATGTCCATTTATGTTCAATTTGTCCACATGTGATTCTTTGCTTTTACTAAATTCAGTTCATTGGTTCAAATCAATAAATAGAAGCCTAGCAAAAAAAAAAAAATGCCCTCTAATACAAATCATCACCATATGCAAAGTAGAAGAATAGATTATCAAAAACAGGAGGGCCCTTGGCACAGATGTTTGAAGGTGGAATTGACCTAAGATAGGCCCTAAGAGTAGGCAGGTTCCAAAGACACCAAGTACAACTCTTTTATGTTACAAGGAAAAATAATGACCAAAGGGTGGAAGTGACTGACCCACAGTCACAAACTAATTAGGGGCAGAGCCAAGACGCCACTGGACAGATGCCTCTAGCAGCATTTTAAAACAAGTTAACAACACCAGAGAGTGATTAAAGAAAAAGGATTAAGAATTCTGTACCTGATCAGGACCCATGGGCATCCCAGACATGGGCATAGAATTCATGTTCATTTGTCCAATGTGGCCACTGTTACCATTCATGTGCATCACACTGTAGGGAGCAGGGCTACCCTGGGGGGGAAACTGCTGCTGTGGAAATGAACTGAAAAGCAAAAAGAACCATTACCTTCTATGTCCTTTTATTTAGTTGCAAACATTACACAGAAAAGAGAATGCAAGGAAGGCCCACTATCTCTGCACTTACAAAGAGAACATTTAAAGACAGATACCCAGAAAACCTGCTAAATCTTCACCTCCAGAAGAGCATTAATTTATTTACCATGTCTATTAACCACATTTGCTTTCAAAACAGATACAGAAAATAGGTCCAAACACATCATTACAGCATTCTCTGAGGTTAAAAACCCAAGGTTTCACATTTAAAGCTTTACCAGGGCAAATACCCTTAAGTGAAAAATACAAAGAGAGTATTTTACTGAGACTCAGAGCCTAAGTGTGAAAGATTTTTAAAGTCACCTAATATTACTGATGAAACACAACTTAATAAAACCAATGGTAGCTGAGTGTATGGGAAGTTCACTACTACACATCCAAATATGGTGTTTACCTGTTCCTGGACAAGGTTCCTGATGGCCAGCCCTTCATTTCTGGGGACTGATACATTGGTGTAGTCTGAGGATGCTGCATCATGGGGTTCTGGGAGGCACCAATTCTTGATGACATCATTGCACTGGGAGGACTAGCTACTCTGCTGAAGGCAGGATCTGATTGTTGGCTCATTCCTTTTAAAGAAAAATAAAACAAATTACTGGTTTGGCTTGTAGGGTCTTTTTTTAAAAAAAGGCAAACAATTATTCAAATGTTAATCCATAAGATTACTGCACTAATTTCTCTAAAGAACAGTGTGGGCAAAGTTAGAAGAGATGAGGGGCTATGCTACAGCTCATCTATCCCTACATTGTGCAGACACTCGAGTCTCACAAGAGCTATAAGTAACATACTAGTCACATTCTTAAAAAAAAATTAGTTTGCTTTCCTTTCTAAACATTTAATATTACTGAATATACTTACATATGTAGAGAGACAATTTACTGCTTGAAATAGGTAGATATACAAGAGTATACTTTTCCTATTAGGTGAACATCAATAGTCTTTTCCAAAAATTTTCTCATTCCCCCAACAGCTCCCACTTCCAGACAACTGAGCCTCCCTATACCCAAAGGTTGATAAGAAGTAAATAATGTTCAAAAAGTACTCATTTACTGTCAGCAGGCAGAATTTAATAACAGTTTATACCTCTGACAGGTCTTACTAAAAGCTAAGCCTTTGGCAGTACGGAACTAATTTTATTCCCTAAGGGTACAAAGGAAACAATTTTATACCTTTTCCTCAAAACTTAAGCTGAGGGAAGAAAAGATATGTAGTGAAAATATGTCAAGTAAACTGGTAACAATCTGCCTAAAACCAATGGTGAAAAGTATTGGTTTAGTTTTTTGTTTGTTTGAATACTCTGAACCATGTTCAGGCAATCTACAATGTTCCTTTAAGGAAGACAAGTTTTCTTCTGCAGAATTTACCATAATTTGGTGGGTATGAAAACTGTTGTGGAGGAGCTTGTGGCATGGAGGTCCCAGCCAAAGCACCATCCATGCCAGCTGAAGCAGTCACATTAGGAGGAGGGCTGAAGGTCTGCGTCTGCTGCTGCTGCTGCTGCTGCTGCTGCTGCTGCATCATCATTGCCATCCGGTGCTGTCTGATGTGGTGACTAATCAGCTCTCTGCTTCGCTGGGCCACCATCTGGGCATTGAGAAAACCTTGCTGCTAACCAGGAGAAAAATTAAAGATGTAGATGAAGAGCAAACTAATTTCATCCTGATCAAGAACCCAAAAGGCATTACAGATACAAATCACATGGAGGGCAGGGATCCCGAGAGGGTTTTCATTGGAATTGTACATGACAGTAAGCTAAGCAGAGAAAATCTGACCAAGATCTTCAAGTTCTTTGCAAACCCTCTGAAATAGGCCATGAGAAGCTGTTAACTGTTTAAAGCAACAGGAGAGTGTTTCCAAAGCAAAGGACCTAAAAGCTAATTCAGTGACATCATGGAACCTCACTTGGCATGTAAGCTGTCTCAGCAGGGTGCAATCAAACCTTTATTGTCAGTTTGCTCTAAGTCCTGCCACAGTTTATATAAGGTGTACAATAGGAAAACGTAAGTTCTAATACCTTCAAGCAACCATATAACAAAAAGTTTGGGGGTAGCAAACATTCCTTAAAAATAAAATATGGCATGGTATTTTCTTTGCAACCCCCTTTTTTGTATACTATGTACATGCTACCTCTACATGTGGCAAAAGCTAAAGATAGGAAGAAATGACATTCCCTATCACTGTTCTGTCACAAGCACACTGAGACTTTGTTGGAGACATTATGAACTAGTCCGACAACTTTGGAAAGCAGTCTGCAATCACGTTAAGAAACTGACTAATTTCTTAACATAATCCTTGACCCAGACACATCACTTATAAGCATATACTTTAAGAACATCAATGACAAAATGAAAGCACCAAATATTTATATCAACATATCTACAGCATAACAAAGAACTATAAACCAAGTAGCTACCGATTCATTGGGGAATACCTAAACAGATCATGATACATGAATATAATGGAATATTACTATGATATAAGAAACTATGAATGTGATGAATACCAAGTAGTATGGAAAGACTGATATGAATTGATGGAAAATGATGTAGGCAGAAGAGGAAAACTATGTACATTGATAGCAAAGTAAATGGAAAGACAGCAAGTGCTACTGAATGTTGCAAAATTATAATGACCCAGTTTGGCCCCAAATAAGATACCTAACCCCACTTTCTCTGCAGAAACAAGGGACTGTGGGTGTCAAACACTGTGTATAGCAACAGACTAGTTAAGGGATGGCTCTTGGAGGAAAAGTAGTGGAAAGAAACCATGGGAAATACATATGATATAAAAACAAAAGCTATAAAAACATTTAATTTTTTATTATATTAGCTAGTATTTCATTCAAAAGAACACTGGATCCTAAAAAAAAAAAAACAAACCCATATTCAATTATGCTAAACCAGGACTAATAATAATACAGGAGAAAAGAAGCAGCCACTGAAGGCAGAAATAGGAACAATGAGTGAAAGCTGTAAAGAGGGATATTTCAGTATAAGATAAAGAAACAACTAAAACTATCTTCAAGTAGAAGAGGCTGGCTCAGAAGGTACTGAGTTTCCTCTGTGCTGTACATCTTCAAAGTCTATAGAGACCATCATATATGGGATCCCAAAAGCCTTGGTGCAGCTTATAAACATTAATAGCTTTAAACTGCACGAAGACTTTTGGGACATTCTATATGTAAGCTGGAGTTATGTTATACAAGGGATTCTTGTTTATTTTTACAATGGATGGCCTCCAAGGTTCCTCCCGACTCTGATGTTCAATAATAAAAGGATACAATGCATTTATTCAGCAATTATTCACATGAGCTCCTTGAACTAAACAGATCAGGAGTCTTCTCACCTGAGAGTTTACTTGGGCTTGCATTACCGGCCTCATCACTGCAGCCCCACTAGCAGGAGGGGTTTCCATTTTCATTTCAAGGGCCTGACGACTCTGGTTCAGAAACTGGAGAGATAGAGAAACAGGTCCGAGTGCGCACAGAGAATAGCAGTAAGACAATACACAGACCGAAGGGATTATGCCTTCAAGACAGAAGCATTGAACAATGGATCAGCATGCTGAGATCTTCTCCACTTAACTGGATAAACCACCAACTTGAAAGCTATAAACAAAACTTGCAAATACTTTAGGCTCAATTTATTTAAGCTTCAAAAGTCCTTGGTGAGCAGAAATGAAGCTTAAAATAGGAGAACCTTAGGAAAACAAATAGAAGATGGATGTGAAATTGTAACTTAAAGGGCAACATCAGAAAGTATCAGAAAAGCCTTTTTGAGGCAGATTATCTCTACAATTTTGATTTTGGAAATTAGGCACTTATAGAAGCTGCATTAACTTTCTTAGGTTAACCTTTAATGCACTACTATTAATGAGACATTCTTCCAGGTAACATTTAAAAAAAATAAGTTTTAAATGACACCCTACACAAGTGAACAAATTCCCAAAATGCTGACTATTGCCCACCTGGGAGCATTCAGAGGAAGACAATAGAGTTCTCTGGATTATAAAATTACAGACAAACTTAATTCAATTCAATTCAACAAATACAGAACATTCTTCAAGGTAACATTTGGTAACATTCAGTTACCATGTGTTCATGAATGAACACAACTTTCCAAAATGCCCAATTGTGTGGAAGCAATTAATGCACAGAAATATAGAGCTCTCTAGATTTGCAGATCAATTCAATTCGATTCAGTTCAACAAACTTGTAACCACCTGTATGCATAAAACTCTGGTAGATGCTGGGAAAAGAAAGACAAAACCAAAAGTTACTTCCCCAAAGGAGCATCATATTCTCCTGGGAGCACAGGACATGCATATAAATACACTATGAGAAAAACTGAGAAAGAGAGAAATAAATCAAACACTGCTAGAAGGGGACATCAGGGAAATCTTTATGGAGCGGGTGGTACCTGAGTTAAGCCTTGAAGGAAGACCAAGTTTGTTGGATGGATGGAAGGAAAAAAGGCTGAGAAGCAAAGAGGAGAAGGAAGTGCGTTCTTGGCATGGAAAACAGTTTGTGTGAATGGAGATTAAGAAAAATGGAGTATCAAACATAACTGACATAAAAGGTAACATGCTAAAGGCCAGAAAGAAACATACCTTTGAGATCTATGGACAGATAAAGTTTAATGGGATAGAGAGGATCACAGAAAATAAAATGGATAATTAAACATTTTTACACAAACCCCAATGTAGTTAAAATTAAAAAAGAAATGGGTATAACTGGAGGGGAAAATCTTTGTAGCAAGTCTCTCTGATAAAGGTTTCATATCTAAGATACGTAAGGAACTGATTGAAATGTATAAGACTGAGAGCCATTCCCCAATAGATAAAGAGTCAAAGGCAATTTTCAAATGAAGAAATTCAAGCTACCAACAACAATGTGAAAAAAAAATGCTCCAAATCACTAATAATTACAAAAATACAAACAGGAGTGACTTTGCAGTTCCATCTTATAATCTCACACCCATCAGATTGTCAAAGATGATAAAAGAAAAAAATTACAAATGCTAGAAAGGCTGCAAAAAACAAAAACAAAACAGGTCCACACTATTACACTGTTGATGGAACTGTAAATTGGCCCAGTCATTTGGAAAACAATAGAACTACGCCCAAAAAATTGTGAAACTGAGCACCCAGCAACACCACTACCAGGCCTATACACTAAAGAGATCAAATAAAGAAGAAAAGCACCAATATCATGAGTCCCTGGAAGCAAGGAGATACCAGGTTTGCTTGAAAAGAAATGAACCAGCTTAGGTCAGAAATAGAGAATGTCAAAGCTTCCATGCCAATCATGGGGGGCTGCTACACTCCAGTCTGGACAAGATAGGGAGACCTAGCCTCAAAAAAAAAAAGAGAAGGAAGGGAAGACATGGAAGCTGGGAAGAGAGGAATATCAAGTTAAAAGAATAACTACTAGTCCAATTTGGCCAGAATGTGGCATCCAGAGAAAGAACTAGTATAAAATGAGGCCAGAAAGATTAGTGAGAGCCCCTTTATGGAAAGCTTTAACTACTTGGCTATGCATCCTGTGTTTTATTCTATAGGCAATGGAAAGTCATGGAAGGTTTCTGATCAAGAAAGTAAGATAATCAAATCTGTACTTTATTATTATTAATTAAGATTATTTTGACAGCTGTGTATAGAATGAATTGGAGGGAAGATATAAGAAACAGTGAGAATAAGCTGCACAGAAATGATACTTAAAACCATAAGAATCAGTAAAACCTATTAAGAGAGAACATAGTAACAGAGGTCAGGAGAACAGCCACACTAAATGGATGATGATTCCACAAAAAGACTAAGAAATAGTCTAATAAGTAGAAAGAGAACCAGGAGAAAACAGCTTGGATGTCAAGAAAAAAGACTAGGCTCAAGAGAACAAAGTGGGTCAACAGTATCAAAGCCTGAAGTGATGTCACGAAGTATGAGGACTGGGAAAAAAGATCATCAGACATCAACCAACTAACAAGCATTCACCTAGCACTTTCTGTGAGTTGGGTGTTATGTTAGGCACCAGGGACACAAACGCAGAATAGAAATAGTCCCTTCCTTAAGCACATTCTGAGAGCGCAAAATACATGTTATAAGTATATAAAAAATCAAGACAAGGTAATTTTTGGTGGGAGGCACTAGAAAGTAGGGGAAAATCAAGAAAAGCTTTATAAAGAAGACAGCACTTGAACTGAGCTCTGATGAAAACTAGAGAGTCTAAGAGATGAAGCTGAGGTAAGAATTCTGGGCCTGAACAAAGGAACAGAGATGGGTTCCTCAGGTCATTTTCTGAATCAAAACTTCCAAAATGCCAATCTATTTATATCCTTGTTGTCTCCCCTCCCCTCATTAGATGTAAGCTCCTTGCAGTTAAAGACTGTTTCATCTGTTGTATTTTTAAATTTCAATGTCTAGCACATAAAAGGCACTTAATAAATGCCTGACTGATTAAGGGAGAGATGGGAGAAAAGAGGAGGGCAAAGGAAAAAGCCTTTGGGAATATCCATAATTAGGAGATGGAATACTGATGATGATCCAGCTAGAGAAACTGGGTTGTCAGACTCATATCTAAGAAGGAAATGAGATATCTAGGAAAAATGAAAGAGTACTTTCACAAAAACCTGGAGAGAAAAGAATATCTAGGAGATAGGTGTGCCAAATGCAGAGAGGTCAAGAATTAAGATTAAGAAAAACCTATGAGATTTGCCAATTAAGAGATTACTGATGTTTAATTATGATTGTATATATATAACCCATATCAAATTACTTGCTGAGGAAGGGAAAGGAGGGAGAAAAATATGGAACTCAAAATTTTACAAAAATGAAAGCTGAAAACTATCTTTACAAGTAATTTGAAAAAAATACTATTAAGGAAAAAATTAAAAAGATTACTAGTAACTCGGGAGAGATCAATTTCTGTTGAGTAGAGTCTGATGCTACACAGTAAGGAGAATGAAAAAAGAGTGAGGAGTCACTGAATGTAGGAAGCTTTTTTCCTAGCACTTTGTTGAAGGGAAGAGAAATGTATAGGATACTATCTTAAGGGAATGGAAGATTCAAGGGAAGAATTTTTATGGCTGGAATAGATTAACATGTGTTTGTAAGCAGCAAGAAAGCACCATTAGATAGGAAGAGATTGCAGATGAGAAAGAGAGAGAATGATAGGGTAAATCCTCGTAGGATATAAGAGAGCATGGGATCCAGGAGACTGAGGTGACCGAGGGGAAAGACCACCCCCTTCCTCATACATAGTAGTAAAGGAAGAAAGGATGCGTAAAGATGGTGAGGGATTTTGAGGTATACAGAAGAAATAAAAGGGAATGTATGGCAAATGATTTATGTTCCCAGTAAAGTAGAAGACAAAGAATTTTTTTTTTTTTTGGCCAGAGGAAAGAGGAAATTTATTTTTAGTTTTCAACAATAATTTCCATAAGCTTTTGAGTTTTAAATTTTTCTCCCCCTTCCTCCTCACCTCCCTAAGACAGTGTGCAATCTGATATAGGTTCTACATATACATTCCTATTAAACATATTTTCACATTTGTCATGTATAAGGAAGAATTAGAACCAATAGGAGAAACCACAAGAAAAAGGAAACAATACAAAACAGAAGGAAAAAAAGAGCAAATAGTATGCTTCGATCTGCATTCAAATTCCATAGTTCTTTCTCTGGGTGTGGATAGCATTTTCCATCATGAGACTTTTGTAGATCCTTGCATTGCTGAGAAGAGCTAAGTCTATCAAAGTTAGTCGTTGCACAAAGTGGCTGTTAACTGTGTACAATGTTTTCCTGGTTCTGCTCACTTCACCCAGCATCAGTCCATACAAGTCTTTCCAGGTTTTTCTGAAGTCCACCTGCTCATCATTTCTTATAGCACAATAGTATTCCATTACATTCATATACTACCACTTGTTCAGCCAGCCCCCAACTGATGAACATCCCCTCAATTTCCAATTTTTTGCCACCACAAAAAGAGCTGCTATAAATATTTTTGTACATGTGGATCCTTTTCCCGTTTCTATGATCTCTTTGGGATACAGCCCTAGAAGTGCAATTGCTGGGTGAAAGGGAACAAAAGAACTTTTGATAAGAGATAGGAAGGTGAGGAAGGAGATGAGTACTTAAAAGGAAGATTGTTTTCCTCTGCACTTGAAGAGGACCAAAATGACATCACTATGTCAGAATCAATGTACAGTGTGTCCAACTCTAGTTGATCAGATCAGTACAAGCTTGGAAGGCTGTTCCACAAGTCAAGCACAAACAGCCCATGTGAACATCTGGGATGGAGATGTCTCTAAATTTGTACATCTCGTGTTTCTTTTGAGCTACTGAAAAAAATGGTAAGAAGAAATATGAAAAAGATGAGAAAAGATCTTTTTTTAAGGGAAAGGATGACTTGGAACAATGCCTGAGAGGAGAGTAAAATAATCAAGTAATAAGAAAAAGTTTACTGTTTAACAATAGGGACCAACTTGAGATTAAATTAATTTGTAATGACCCAGTTGTCAGTTATTTAAGCAAATAACTAAGACAGAAGGTAGATTAATAGAGAAGCCAGATGGAGATGATGATGTCAGGTTGAGAACTGCAGGGAGTGAATGGTGGTAGACCAGGGGTTAAGAGGATGCAAAGATGGAGGAAAGTATAAAGCTGAACTGGTAAACTATTAGATCATGTTTGCAAGAAGAAAATAAAGGCAGATTAGTAGTGGTAGAGCTGAAGAACAAAGAGAGATAGCTAGGACTAGATGTTTCAGTAAAGATAAAGAATAGACTTAGGAAGAGTAAAGCAGAAAAATAGATGGAAAGACAGGAGATTATAATCAGCAAGAAGAGAAGTTCAGAGTTCAAGATCATAAGAAGTAATAGGTGTTAGTCAAGTAAGATCTAACATATAGACATCCCTATATGTAGATGAAGTAGAATGAAGGTATAGTTTTTAGGAATTGAGATGGTCGGTGAACTATGGAGTCAGGTTGTCAGAATGGTCATCAATGTGTACAGTAGAGCCTCCCAAAATATGAACAAAAGATCTGGATTAGAAAGGACAATGAACCCACTATTAAACTCCTTAAGAAATCTAAGTCTAAAGTCTGCATCGAAAATATAACCACTAATTGAGACTAAGTGACCTAGAGCCCAACAGAACAAAGCAGCAAGGAACTGGACCAGATGATACTCAAAAAACCAAGAATATTGTAATGAAAGAAGTACAAGACTCAAAATGAAAAGACCCAAGTTCAAATATCAACTCTGCCTTTTAATGCTTGTGACATAGTCATTTAAACTCTCTGCACCCAAGATCATTCATCTATAAAAAGTTAATTAGATGGGTTTCTAATAACCTTTCCAGTTCTAAATCCAAGGATCTAACTAACTGATCTATTCACATAAACAGACACATGAATAGACTTAAAGTTCATTAAAACTGCCATCATGGGTTTGTCTTTCTCAGTGATCCAGTCATTTAGTCGTGTATTTCAGGGTCAGTTTTAGAGTAGGAAGGAACCTTAAAGAATAGTAAATCCAAATCTCTCACTTTGCAAAGGAGAAAACTGAGTGATCCAGAGTTCAAGAAACTTGGCTCTTAGGCAAAAGTAGCAAATGCAAAATATACACCCAAGATTCCCAACTTCAGGGTTCTTCCCACTGTACTACAAAGCCTTACAGGAGATAATGGGGCTAAAGTAACTAAATGTTTACTTTTGGAGTATCAAAATTAAACTAAGATGTTATAATATAGTGAATTTATAAAATGGGGAGAGATCTTGATCTGATATAAAAGAAAACACTGGACTTGGAGCTAAGAGTCCATTTTCAGTCTCAACTTCAGTTCCCTCATCTGTAAAACAGAAAGCATTTTTCTAGTACTTATTTCACAAACATAAGCATTTATTTAGATACTACAAAATGCTTAAAAAATAAGGTACTCTGGGGCAGCTAGGTGGTGCAGTGGATAGAGCACCAGTCCTGGAGTCAGGAGGACCTGAGTTCAAATCCAGCCTCAGACACTTGACACTTCTTAGCTGTGTGACCCTGGGCAAGTCACTTATGCCCGATTGCCTCACCAAGAAAAAAAAATAAGAAGGAACTCTGAATAATTTTCCATTCAGACCATCAGCTCTACATTCTGCCCACTGGTAACCTGGATTCCACTCTTGGGTCTCTCCTATCTTAGCAGGTCCAGGCCTCCACAACCATTCACAGCCTGCACTGCAGGCATGTCCCAACACCTCCTGACTTTCTAGGTCCCCTTTATGTGTTGTCTTCACTCAACAGGAGGTAAATACTCCTTAAGGGCAAGGAATGTACACAGTTCCTGGCACATAATTAGCATTTACTTAGCATAATCACCATTTACTTACATCCCATTCAGATTATATGAAAGAATCAAAATATTGATTTCTTGTTCCCATGAAGATAGTATTCTCTCTCCCCACCCCCGACCCTCACCTCTGTGACTTCGATCACCATCAATACATTCACTTACCTGCTGGCCCTGGAGTCTCTGCTGGAGTTGCATTCTAAGCTGTTTTGGTGTATTTGTTCGGGGTCTCATCATGTTAGCTCTGGGATGCATTCCCTGCAGTGGAAAGTTACCCTGCTGGCTCATTTGATTCATCATTGAATTATACGGTTGCTGTTGTCCCTGAAGATTACTGAAACCTCCTTGTATTACTGCAGATTGGGCTTGATAGGATTGTCCATATAGAGCAGACTTTTGGTCAATCATTACTGCAGATTCTTGACTTTGGAAAGACTCCTGCTTAGCTTCCAAAGCTTGACCCTTTAGCAGCAAATAAATAAATACCAATGCATCATTTAAAATATCAATTATGAGAGGAAATACATACCATACATCTTAAAGAGATTAGGCATTTTGGTATTAATTTTAAAATGCCAGCATGAAATTACAAAAACAAAATAATACCTGTTACCACACTGTCTAAAATAATAGTTTCTATAGCAAGTCCTACTTTAAGTTTTCATAGTAGTTCTGTGAACAAAGATCTAAAATATACTCATTAGCCAAGTGAATAATAGTTAATTAATGTCTCAACCAAGTGATAAGTAACTAATTGGGAAGAAAAGGACTTCTAAGACTAGAAATTCTTATTGTCAGCTAACAATAATCCAAAGGATTCGAAAGGTCATTTGCCATTAAAAAAAAAAACTATAGCAAAGAAAGAGTAAAGGATCCATATTTAAAAAACCATTTATAGCAATTATTTTTGTGGCAGCAAAGAATTGGAAACTGAAGTGGTGCCCATCAATTGGGGAATTGCTGAACAAGTAACGGTATATGAATAGGATGGAATATTATTGTGCTATAAGAAATGAAAATGATGATTTCATCACCTGGGAAGATGTATATGAACTGATGATGAGAGAAGTGAGCAGAACCGGGAGAACAATTTGTACAATAAAAACAATATTGTAAAGATAATCAACTTTAAAAGGTTTAGGAACCGATCCTCAAAATGATCAACTCCATGAGGGCTCCAATAACTCCAGATGACTTATGATGAAACAAGCTACCCAAACCTGGACAGAGAAATGATGGATTCAGGGCACAAACTGAGAATTTATTTGGACGTGACCAGTAGGGGAATTTATTTTGCTTAACTCTACATGCTTGTAACATAGGTTTTGTTTTTCTTGCTTTGTCTCACTGAGGGGTAGAAAGGTGGGAAGGAGAGAAGGCAGATCTCCATCCGAAAAAGAATAGATCTTTTAAAAAATGAACTATAGGACAATTACTCTGGACAACAGATATATATATATATCCCTGAAAATGGGAAAACCAAGCCATATTTTAAATAAGTGAATAAAAAATACTTATTAAATGCTGGCCATGTGCAAAGCACTGTGCTAAGCTGTTGTTCCATCCTTCATTTTTGAGGAGAACCAATGACATCAGGGAGTGATGCCTTGACTTGTGCGTGAACTGGATTTAAAAGTAGGACAAAGCTGCCAGCCTCACTCTCTCTTCCAGAGTCACTGAAGTCCAATGGCAAGACAAAAGTCAAGATGACTAGGGATGGCCCAGGAAGCAGTGGATGACCTTGGCATCTTCAATGTCCGACCAAGCTCTAAATTCTCTACAGCTCCTGCTTCAGCCAGCCTGATGGCTTTTGGAACAAATTGTTCTCATCCATCCATTCTGCCAGAAGAAGTCTTCACATGCTTAGGGGAGACATCTCCCTAAATCACATCTCCCCAACTCACCAACAGGTTTGAGGCCTGTTGGTTCCCCTCAACCTGGTTTAGCCGTCTGCCAAGATGGGTTTGCTGGGGTGCAGCCGCTGCGCATGCTGCAGCTTCTACAGGTACAGGTGAGAATTGGGTCACAGGTGAACACCAAAGGTGGAGGAGCAGCCCTGAAAAGGGCTCAGCAGCCCTCACACCAGATGTGCTAGTCCTCCCTCAACAACCCATACACCCGACTGTGCTAAGCAGTAGGGATATAAATAGAAAAGCAGAAACAATCTCTCACTGAGCTCATATTCTAATGTAGGAGATTACACACATAAGAAGTTTCAGCTGGAAGACAAATGGAAAGATCCCATAGTACTTAGGGTACAATGGCAAAGCAGATGGTAATGTCCTTTCCACTTATCAAATCATCTAAGTTTCAGATGTTGAACTATTTGACAGTGCCAAGGATTTGGTCGCAAGAACTTTCTCTGACCAGTCTTCAGTAGCTGCTGTTGCCAAGAAAGATGTGGTTTTAACTATTTAGAAGAAGAATAACTTTTGATCCCACTAAGGGACATCAAGTCCAAGGAGGTCAAAGAAAGAAAGGTCCCATATATACCAGTATATATAGAATACATAACAATATTTCATGGCAGCACTTTTTGTGATAGCAAAAAAACAGGAAACAAGGTGCGTACTCACTGACTACAGAATGGCTGAACAAACTATGGTATACAAATGTAATGACATACTGTTACATTATAAGAAATGGAAAAAAAATAAGGAAATCAGAAGAACCTAAGAAGATTTTTATGAACTGATACAAAGGAGGGTCAACAGAACCAAGAGAATAATATGCCCAATGACAATAATACCCTTAACTAAAAACTGAATGCAACACTAAAAGTAATCCAGACTCAGATTAATTGCAGTGACCAATCTCGGTCATGCACAACAGAGATAAAACACATTTCCTTGCTCTCAGAAGAGAGCTGTGGTACAAGATGAAAGGAATATTGTATATATTGCCCTTCTATCTGATTAGTTAGTTTTATTAAACTCTTATCAATGTTCAATGGAGGAGGGGGCTGTATATGAGCAAATAAATGCAATGTTAAAAATAAAATATTAAAGAATGATTAAATGTCTTCTTTTGCAAAGTTGAGAATCCACCCATAATGCAAAACAGCCACTAATAATTTTTGTTTCGCAAATCCGGAGTTTTGTATAACTGCTTAAAGGAAAAGAATAAAAAATAATGGAGGAGTGGAAGAGATGCAAAGGGACAGTCATGGCAGATTTACCTTATTAGTTTCATTTTGTTGAAGCTAATAAAAAAATTAACTTGCATTCTAGCTGGGGCAGCTGGTAGTATACTAGATTATTACATGTCTAAGATCAAAAACTCCTTGATAGCAAATTAATATAAACATAGACAACAATAGTCGAGGATTTTCATGTAATTTGAATCATGAAGCACTATTCAGTCATACTGCTAAGATTATGAATATTAATGACTAGGATAAGCCAAATATAGAATCAAAAGATATGACCTTTAGTTTTGTCATTTTTAAAATGAGATTATCCTCAAGTCCTGAACAAGTCAAACATTCTTGAAAACTAGTTTTACTGAGTCATAATTATTAAATTATAAATAATTCTTTTGTTACCCATTAGGATTCTAAGAGTAATATTGTAGTTTTACAAATTATTTTTTCATTTGCAAAATACTAAAATATGAAAAGAGATGTATATCCATTAGTCAAGTTAATATTTCTTACTTGATTTACAAGATCAGGGATTCCCAAAGCTTTATCAATTTCTTCAAGTCCTGTGACATCTGTGTTACTCAACAGAGTATGTAACTGATCCAAAAGAGCTCTTTCATCACTCTGACTTTCTATGTTAGAAGGAGGACACAAGAGATCATCTAGGGAATTCCTGACAAGGGCTCTAAAAAAAAGGCAAAATTCAAAACATTTGACATTATAATGACAATTTCAGACACTTCTAAATAAAGTAGGTTTGTTGAATGAAGTCTACCCACACTATTCACATAACTATTTGATAATCCTCTAAACAGCACCACCATATAAGAACAATCCTACTAGATAAAGTCAGAAGACCTCAGCTCTAATTCTAACTCTGATACCTCCCAACCTCTTGACCTTGGTCAAGACATGTAACCCTTCCCTGTAAAATGGGACTAATACTTCCTGGACCACTCCAAATGCTTCTGACCTTATCCTTCAAGATACAGTCACTAAAATGATCACATATACATAACTGCTAGTATGCTCAATTTGATCCAATAGATATGCCAAGTGAACCCTAATTATTGTGATAGTTCCTTGGGACAAAAAGACAAAAGCCAAAGTGTTCTTGCCCTTACAATCTATCCTTTTGAAAGACAGTGCTTGTGCATATCTAGCGTAGAGAAAGGAGAGTTTCAATTCAGGGAATAGCTTATGGGCCAGTTTGGCTGGAATACAGAGTTCATGAAGGGGAGTAGTAGGAAATAAGGTTGGAAAGGAAGGTGGGAACCAGAATGTGGAAGGTTTTAAAAGCCAGGCTAAGATAGCCACTGAAGGTTGTTGAGTAACATGGTCAGACCTGCTGTGCCTTAGGAAGATTATTTTGATAACTAGATGGACAATGGATTGATTAGGGTTGGAAGAATTGAATGGAAACAAAGAAACTAATTAGGAGGATTACAGTAGTCCAGATAAGAAGTAGCGAGGAAATACAACGTTGGTAGCTTATCAATTGGTCCGACCATTTTTCAAAAGCAATTTGGAAGATATATATGTATATTTTTTTTAAGCGATTAAAGACTTTGCCTAGAACCTTCCAACCACAATGGCCACATCAATGTAAAAACCCTGAAGTTTGCAATATGGAATAGTCAATAGAATTGGCTTCAAAGCCAGGAAGAGTTAGGTTCACGACCAGCTTCTGACACACACTGGCTGTCTGACCATAAGACAATCACATAACCTATTAAAGCCCTAAGCAATTAAGACTGTAAGTTGCAGAAAAGATGCCAGATTACACTGCTAGAACAATTTCAACACTGGAATAAATAAAAACATGATCTTAACCTCAATCCATAATCATTTTGGAACTGAGAAGAGAGGATATCATGTTCAACAACATCCAAAAAGTTGTTTCCAAGTATAAAATTTGTTTAAAGAAACCAGAGTAATCTCTCACCTAGCATCAAAAAATAAGGTACTTAAAATAAGTTTCCTAGATAACTTTATAGACAGAAAGCTACCACACTTCTTTGTCTGTGGAAGCACAGTAAACTATTAGGCATCAATTATAGTGATACCCTTAAAATATATGTCTATTTTGGGGCAGCGGATAGAGCACTGGCCCTGGAGTCAGGAGGACATGAGTTCAAATCCGGCCTCAGACACATAACACTTACTAGCTATGTGATCCTGGGTAAGTCACTTAACCCCATTGCCTAGCCAAAAAAAAACAAATTATATATGCCTATTTGCCCTTACATTAAGTGATGCCAGAATGTTTTGGCTGAATTTTTTTTTTCTTCTATCTCCTCCTTTCACTGTGAACACTGCTTTTTAGTGCTGCAAATGTATTCTCCAAGTTTCTAATCTGCTTTCTTATTCTTTCCACACAATGGGCTAAGTAACAGCTTAAAAATATTTGAATTCTCCTAGCCAAGTATTTCTTAGGATCTATAATATGTAGGACCATTTTTCCTTTACTTCAGGTGAAACTACTATGCTTGTAATGGATGAGAATACTGATAATCTAATGTACAGATATAGTTACTATATTTGTACATATAATCTAACTATAAGTACTTCCTTACAAATTTGGTTATGACTCTTTCCTAAAAAAAATAAACACACTGACATCATGTATTTGAATCCCTACCTACCTATTTTGCATCCCACGAGACCCCTGATCCATGGATAACATATTATCAGGCCAAGATCCAGGTTGATTAGAGGGTCCTGTCTGGCCATAGGCATTTACTCCCATGCCCATAGGAATCTCACCAGGCCCTGGGAAATAAAAATCAGGATATATTTAGAAATATACAAAAGAATCCCTGAAAAATGTTAGGTAGCAATTACAAATACATATTCAACTTTTTTTTCTTCTTGAGAGAAGAAAACTTACTCATATGAATCATCTGCTGCTGCAACATTGGCCTTGTACCAGGTATACTATTGGACCTAACAGGAAGTCCAGGCATAGTACCACCCATTGCAGGTCTGGGTAAAGAATTACTATAGTCAGTTCCTGGCCTCACCAATGAACCTGTGTTTTGTTCCATTCTGCTAACTTTAGAATTTGGCAAACCCCATTCTCCTGAGGGATGATGGTTCATAGTCATATTTCTATTCGGTCCACCTAGGTAGAAAAAGAAAGAATCAGTTCCGCACCATTTTATAATACTGTAATTTTTTTTTTACATAAATAAACTCAGTTACATGAAATAATGACCCAAAAGAAAATCCCCAAGTAGTAAGCTGCTGATGGTACCACAAATGGCATTCTGTCTTACCACTTCTGAGGGCCAAAGCCAAGTAATAAAATTTAAAATCATTTGATCACCATTAATTTGGCAAATAAATGTATAAATATATTCTGTAGGCCATTATTCCAGTCTAGTGACTAAAAATTAGTAAAATTATTAATAAAAACTTTGAACTAAAAGAGTTTGAATACATTAAGTGAAACCTTGATGCAGATAAATTTTGAGATTTGAATGGATTCAATGTTATAATAATTTTTACTTAAGATAAAAACTTAACTTTATGCCAACATGGAAGAGTGGTGGAGTTGGAGTCAGAAATATTCCAATCTTGCGTCAGACTTATTTCTAGCTGTGTGACCCTGGGCAAATAACTGACCTCTATCAGCCTCAGTTTGCTCATCTGCAAAACGAGAGAAGTGGGTTCCATGTTCTCTAAGGTCCCTTCTCAATCTAAATCAATGATCCTACACTCCACTTTACAAAATATGATTAAACAAGGGAGGTAAAGGAGAACACGTCCCTCACCCAGGGGGAAAGTATGAAGGGGAAGAGTGTAAAGAAAAAAAAACTATTGTCTCTTAGAAACATTTCATACAGGTCCTTAAAAGGTTGTTTTCCAAAATGCATTACAATAACTCCCAAATAAAACGACATACCCATGTTAGAGCCAAAATTCTCCTGCGTATCCATCATTCTTGTATTCCCGCTTACCACAGGTTGCTTTGGTAACATGGGAAATGCATTAATATTTCTCACTGGAGGGCTTGAACCAACAGGAATAGGGCTATCCAAGGATACAGCTCGATTAAAAGGAGGACGAGCAGATGGCAGAGATTGTGGGCTTCTCAAACCTAAAAAGGAACCAAAAATGTATTTTATAAATAACATTGTATCTACCTCAAAATAGCTCAAATGAAATAAATGGCTCCTGTATTTCCACCAGTACCTACACCCTGCCCCTCAAATGCTAAAATACAGTTGTTCCTTTACATTATAAACACCGGAAGGAGACATAGTCCATATTGAGAATAAACTAGCATCACAATCATCATGGATGAAGAATTCCAACAGTGGAGCAGGGATGGGTGCTGCCCTATGAGGCACAATTTTATATATGGGCCTGTTTCACACTGCTCCTTGTTCTAATCTCCAGACTGTGAGTCAACCTTCCTCAAGCCCCATGATATTTTTTCTCTTTATATGTAGTTATACTAAATGGCTCATGAATTAAAACGTAGAGACCCTTTTTTATGACTTGGGGTTGAAGTGTAAAAAAGTGCTCATTTTAGTCAAAGAATAAAGTTCTTTAAAACACATACAGCATCATTCTAGACAAAGGAATTAATGGAAGTAACAAGACTCAGAACTTTGAAACATCCAAAACAGCAGCAAAAGAAGCAATCAGATTATTTATGATAGTCCTACCTGAAAATGAAAAGAATGAAAAAAAAATGTAGCTTTTAAAATTTCTGTTTTATTTTTTTAATTCCAATTTAAATTTTATTTTTAACCTAACATTCTAGAGTGTATGTATCCAAATAGGTATTATTCTTCCAAGTTATTACCCTGGGAATATACTAAGCATTGATTTTAGCATACTTTAAGTGTTCAAATTACCTACATAAGTCAATTTATGGGCTATGGAAGACAGTGAGGGTTATGTTATCATGTCACATTTCCTTAAATTTAAACTGCTACAGCCTACCATTATCACCTACTTTTAAAATCATACTTGGCTGTTAGAAAACTGTACTAGATTCAGTAAATTTTTCAGGATATTTTATTGTAAACTAGGTCATTTTCAATTAAAAAGAAGAATTTGAATGAAAGTCAAATTCAAACCGAAGCAGTAAATGCACCGAATTCTAATCACTAGGCAAGGCTACACTGGATCAATTTCTCCAAACGCACTTTTTTAAAACGGCATAGACATTCATTCACAGGAATCAGCTGCCAAGTCCTGTCATTTCTACGTTTGCATCATCTCTCATATACTCCCTCTTCACTCTGCATTCTTGACACTGCCTCCATTCTGATGCAGACCTCATTATTACCTTATCCTTGGACTATTAAAATAGCCTGCTGGTTGCTCTACCTGCCAAGAGTTTCCTTCCACTACAATCCAAAGCTCCATTCAACTGTCAAATTGATCTTCCTTAAGTGTAGGTCTGACCATATCACCCCCCATTTAATCAACCTCAGTGGCTCCCCCTATTACCATTAGGATCAAACAGAAAAGCCTATGTTTGGCTTTTAAAGGACTTCGTAACCTAGCCCTTTCCAGTATTTCCAGTCCTCTTAAAACTCTTTCCCCTCCACATGCTATGCAATCCAGTGACACTGGCTTCCTTCCTAGTTATTCCTCAAATATGACTCTGGGCATTTTCACTGGCTTCTCACATACCTGGAACTCTCTCCTTTGTCATCTCTGCCCCCTAGCTTACCTGACTTCTTTGAACTCTCAGCTACAGGCCCTCTTTCTGCAAGAAACTCCATAATCTTTAGTGCCTTCCCTATGAGATTACCCCCAATGTTTCCATTTATCTTGTTTGTATAGTTTTGTTTTTTTTTTTTCCATATCTCCTCTATGAGCTCCTTGAGAGCAGTGACTGGTCTTTGTGCCTTTCTTTATATCTCCAGCACTTAGCACAGTATTGGGCACATAGTGGCTGCTTTCAAAATGCTAGTTAAATTTGACTTGAAAACTGTCTGTAATTTATGATCTTCCAGCTTAACAGTAGAAATGCATTGTAGACCATCAGAAATTGACATTAAAAGGTATGATTTAATAAATGGGTGCCAGAAACAACTGAAACAGTCCAAAGACATAAGTAAAATTCTCTGCCATTAATTTCTCCAGCAATCCATTGTTATTCACTCATTTTGTTGTTGTTCAGTGGTTTTTCAGTGGTGTCTGATTTGTTAGGACCCTAGTTGGGGTATTCTTTTGGGAAAGATACTGCAGTGGTTTTCTATTTCCTTCTCTAGCTTATTGTATAGATGAGGAAACTGAGGCAAACAAGATTAAGTGACTTGCCCAGGGTCGCACAGCTAGTAAGTGTGTGAGGTCACATTTGAACTCAGGTCTTCCTGACTCCAGACCTAGTGCTCTATCCACTGCGCCACCTAGCTGCCCCATTCACTTATACACCCTTCAAAATGTAACAATGAAATGCCATCTGTAACATTTTATTCTCAATTGGGGGTGGGGGGAAGTTCAGGCAGAATAAGGTACAGAGATTGCCACAAGACATGTGTTACATCATTAAGTTTTTATCTAATTTTCTAGCAAAACTACTGCTTAAAGGCTGGCAGGGCCCAGTAGTCAGAGAGCGGGTCTTAGAATTAGGAAAACACTTCCTGGCTCTGGACAAGTCATTTTAATTTCTCTGTTCCCCAAGTCACTCTCTAAGACTGTAAAATCAAGAGTAGATTCTATCTGCATTGGTAAGGAGGAATTTAAAAAAATTTTCAAAACCTACTAATGAATTTTTGTTTCTGAATGTTGTAACATTTCATGACATCTATATAAAATGAAATTGGCCTTTTTCTTCACAGTATCAAGTCAATTAACAAGCATTAATTAAGTGCCTACTATAAATCAGTTAGTATGCTATGTGCAACATCAATTACAAAGAAACAATTCCTACATAGAAGAAGCTTACATTCAAACAGGAATTGAACTACACCTGAATATGCACCCAAGAGAGAAGAGTGGTGTAACTGGTTGTGCTGGAACTAAAAATTACTAATATGGTACATCTTTATGCAGCTCCATTCTAGCATGAAGAAAGTGCCATTAAATACATATTTTTCATATAAAAAAATTACAGACAAGTGAAAGTTAGGGATGAAATGGAAGGAAAACATTTTATAAACTGTTCCCATAGGTGACAGATGGACACAAAAGGATATACAAGGTTTAAGTGAAATATAATCACATTTAACAATACAATTGTAAGCAAAAAAGAAAAGCTTAACACATATTAGAATCTAAATATAAGCAGCTCCCAAATATCTTATGGTGGATATCTATTTTGTAGTAGTGCATTACACTCTTTGCACTATCACACAAGAGAAAATCCAGTTTTCAACAGAAGTATGGATCAAAAGAATTTTAAAAGGTACATAATTGGGGAAAACTGGTAGATAGAAAATTAAAAAGCTAAAAGCTTAAACCGCAAAATAGAAGCATCTGCATATAATGTCTGAAAGGATGCTTTGTCTTAAAATGCATTCTAACATAAGATCCTTTGTAGGCATGATCTGAGTCTTTATTGTTTTATTGCCCTCTGTATGAAGCAGATACATTACATATAGGCCTTTTAAATAAATGTCTATTATGGAGGTATGAGTTTATCTCTTGGTTCTAGGCAGCATCCTATAAATATAGCAGACATAATCTGTCCATATATTCCTAGTCACTATTTCACAATATTCAGATGGGGAAGACCAAAGCTTTATTTTTAAAAAAATTAAGACTTACCTAGAGGGGTATTTCCTTGAAACATCTGTTGCTTATTTGCCAGGTTATTACCATTTGTGGACATGGCATTGTTATAAAAGTCAGAACTTGTCAGGTCACCAAGAATAGCATCTAAATTATCCAAGTCTCCAGTCACCTAAAGATCAATTTTTACAAAGAGGCTGAATGTACGTCTGTATATTTGCACCCACACATAACTGCATGTGTAGTAAGAAACAAATTGAATAATGAAGAATAAAATGGAACAAATGTCTGAAAATAATGGTAAGTATAAATGTGTGGCACTTATAAGAAGTAAAATAACTAATAATAAATATTTCTGAAAACATCTTTATCTAAGTGAGGGCTGGAAACATGAAGGTATTTACACATATCTATAAACTCAAGCTAAGTACACATGTTACAGCAAATGTTCAGTAGCTAGTATTTTCCTAACTTTCCTAGAAGGGAATTTAATGTCCAGTGTAAACCAAAAGAAAATTCTTCCCTTCAAAATGAGATCGATTTACCCTGCTGTGACAATCACAGAACCAAAAGTATGCTCACATCTGAAAGGTATTTGGTCCTGGTGTTAGGACTTACACTTGACATCAGAGAGACTCTCACAGCAGTGCTACACATCGTCATCACCACCAGATAAAAGAATAAGCACACACTATTCAAAAGTATGTCATAAATAATGATCAAAAACTATTATAAATACATAACAATATGTGTGTAATTTAGCTTCTAAATGGCAATTTATATCTTGATTTTTGTGTTTCTCTAACCCGCTTTACCATGACCTCAGATACCTAGAATTTGGAAAATAAGCATGTAGATGAGATTTTCCACTTCTACCTTCAAACCATGTATATCAATAAACTCAGCTAAGATTACATGACATCATGCATTATTTCCTGTTTTCAAACAACATGATTCAATTCAAGTATAATTTTGATCTTACAAATTTAAATATAAGATAAAATCATAGACTGTTAGAGTCATAAAGGACCTTATAAATACACTCTTAAATAGATATGCATAGACAGAGGGAAAGGGAGATGCCTGTCTTTGGTCATACAGCTAGTTAGGTGAGCATTTGTTTAACTGTAACAGTCAATGAATTTTAAATTTCTTCATTAAGTTACAATTGCAAGATCATGGAATAATAAAGTATTATAATAAGAATAATAAAGATCTTCTTGGAGTCAAGAAGATCCAGATTCAAATATGTTTCTCACACTTAGTGTATGAGTAGGTCACAACTTTTCTGAGCCTCAGTTTCCTCATATATAAAATGGGGATAATGATATTATCCATATCACAGCTATTGTTTGGCTCAAATGAGATTATCCTTCTAAAGCTTTTTTGCAAATTTTAAAGCTTACGTGTTTATTAGTAGTAGTAGTAATATTATATAATTATTACTATTATTGTTTTTGCTGTTGTTATTAATTATATTTCCTAGTTTTCTATCCATGCTTAATACAGGACAGAAGTAACAGAAAACAAATGAGTGAAGTTCTTAAACTACTAAATATGTTACCTCTTCATTCTGTTCAGTCTTAACTTTAATCTCTTTTTCTTGATTTGAAGTAGGTATAGAAGAGGTGCTGCACTGCCCCATTTTATTATCTACACCTTCCACTTTAGGTTTTATGTCTTTAGAAAGTGAATCATTAGGATCATCCCTATCAAGCAGATATCGAAGAAGTGCATTGTTTTCCTTCTTCTTGGGACTTAGCTGCTCCTGCTTAACTATTCCTTCATTAGAAGCTATACTGCTCGTGTCTTTCCCAGTAGCTTCAGCTGTAATCTTGGCTACTTCAGCAGGAGAATTCCCATTCTGCAGCAACTTGTGCAAAATTCTGTGCTTCTCTTGCAGCAGGGAGCCATGAATGTTTGATGTGGAAGAAACTCCTCCAGATGTAGAAGAGGAGACTCCAGAAGGGCTAGTGACACCAGCAGCAGAATCTTTACAGCCTGGATCTAATGGAGAATTTGTCAGGGTGGAATGTCCCCGGTCATCTGAAGAACATGTTAGTAACTGAAGTAGTTTTTTATGGCCTTTGCTTTCAGGTGGTCCCCTCTGATTCTCTGGCCCTTCGACACCAGTTTCTTTACTGTCTTTATCATTGGGGTGGTCCCTGCTATTGGCTTGGCATATGGAACTTTCCACCTGACTCTGTTCACAATATAAGCCAGCAGGACTCTTAGAATCCTGGCTGCCTATTTTACTTTGTTGATTTATGTTCATATTTGGAGAATTATCCAACTTGGGGCCTGGTGAAGAAAGCGTAGACAAAAGAGAAGTCCCCACACCCTCACTGATGGCTTGAAGGGCACTGAGAGAGCTACTGGAGAAACTGTTGCTGCCAGTGTTGCCAGCAGATCCCATTGGAGAATGCATACCTATTAAGGAAGGAGGCCAAAAGAGCTAGGTGAGTGATCAATCAATCGACAAACATTTCTTAAATATTCACTATATATCAGGAATACAAAGTGCTAAGTGCTTGGGATACAAAGATTAAAATCAAACAGTTCTGGAGGGAGACAACATACATGTATATAAATGTAGACAAAATAAACATGAAGTAATGAGAGGAGAGGACAGCACTAGCAGGAAAGGCTTCATGTAGAAGGTGGTTCTCAGGCTGAGTTTTCAAGGAAACAAGGAGAAAACTCTGAGAAGTAAAGGTGAAGAAGTAAAGAAGTAGATTCGTGGCCTGGGGGACAGTGAACATTCAGGAGACAGAAAGGCAGCATCCTGGGTAAGAAACTGCAAAAAGACCAGTTTGGCTGGACCACTGTGTGTGGGAAAGAGAGTAATAGATAAGAAGGCTAAAAAGACTTCAACACGACTATTTTTTGGTGTTGTTCAGTCATTTTCAGTTGTGACCAACTCTTGGCAAAGATATTGGAGTGGTTTGCAATTTCCTTCTCCAGCTCATTTTACAGATGAGGAAAGTGAGGCAAACAGGATAAAAGGGTAAAAGTGAGTCTAGGATCAGGGACTTTAAACGACAACAAAGGAGTTTGTGTTTTATCCTTACAGGCAAAAATGGAAGGGGAACAATAAAGGGAGCCACTGGAGTTAACTGAGTAGGTGAGCAATAAGGTAATCCCTGCATTTTAGGAAAAGTGCTTTGGAAGTTATATGAAGGATGAATTGTAGAGAGGGGAAGCTTACAGCTGGCAGACAAATTAAGAGGCTACTGCAATAGTGCAGGCAAGAGATGATTAGGGCCTGAACTAGATGGATATGTGAGTAGAAATAAGGGGCCAGATGCAAAAGATGTTGTAGAAAAAGGAACAACAACATGTGGTAACTGAATGGATATGGGAGATCCACTGGGAGGATGCATCTTATTAGGACTTTAATTTCTCAAAAATAATGGAGCATGGAAATAATGAACCACATGACAAATTATATACATAAATATGACCTTTAAAAAAAAGTCTCCAGGGCAGCTAAGTAGCACAATGGATAGAGCACCAGCCCTGGAGTCAGGAGGACCTGAGTTCAAAACCAGCCTCAGATGCATAACACTCACTAGCTGTGTGACTCTGGGCAAGTCACTTAACCCCAGTTGCCTCACACACAAAAAAAAAAGTCTCCCAAAAACTGACAGCTAAGACAATATTGGGGTATGAAGGAAATGTTCTAAGGCTATACCAAAGAAGTGCAAGACCTGGCCAGACCTAACACATTGGGACGTCTTCTCCTATGTATGGGTATAACAATAAGACTGCATGCCTTCTGTCTAAAAATGATACTAGCTTGCACTTTGCCTAGGTGTGAAGGAGTCATTCTCTGAAAACTGGTTCCCATGAAATGTAAGCTAAAGCCACACATATTTTAGTCCACAGACTAAGAAGTAAAGGGGTTATTAGCTACATCAATAGCAAGAGTGTCAACATGGCTAAAATCCCAGATCTTTGCAGTATTTAAACATTAACAGGAAGCACACTTAAAAATGGACGAAAAAAAATAGGTCAAGTAAAATACCTGGAACAGGAGAAAACTGATGTGAAGGCATCTTTGGACTACCTCTGTTATGAGGAGAAATCATTATGTTCTGCTGACCGGAGCCAAGGCCAGGGCTACCATGTGGAGGGCTGTTCATATTTAGCCCATAATTGTTGTTTTGATAGGCAGAGGATTGCATTCCTGGTCCAAGATTTACAGAGCTTATGTTATTAGGGCCTCCATATCTAATGCCACTCATCTGTCCCACTGCATTGGGATCTCCCAAGGAGTAAGGCCTATTCTGTACTGGTAGGCTTTGATTTGGTGACATATTCATTCCTCCAACAGAACTGGCACATCCGACTGTGGGAGCTCGTATGTTTTGTCCCACTGGGTTGGGATTTGGTCTATATCCATTCTGCTCTCTGAAAATCACACATTAAAAAAACTCACAAAATTTTACTCAACAATTGCAAAGTTTATTAAGATTCTTGATAAGAGCTGAAATATAGGAGGAAACTAATATATAAAACCACTTCTTCATGGATACTGTGACTATACCTTCAATAACTAAACCAACATAAGTCTTTTTCTAATGAGACTGAATTAATTTCCCTTCCACTAGGTTACTACAAAAATTGCCACATAATTGACATCATATCTGCTGCTCTTTACAAAATTAAGAAGGTTTCAATAAATAAAACTACAAAACTCTTCAAAATTAGCATTTTCCATGAGGCAGAGGTTAGGAAGTTAGAGAAGATTTAAGAATTTTCTATTTAATGTTTTGTATGTCCTGCCTACTCTCACTGAGATGTCATTTGGTATTTATGAAAAGCATATGTTGGTAACTGAAATTTGAATTAAAAAAAAAAACTAACCTCAGTGTTATTATCTCATGGGAGAAATTGGGAAATGGAAAGAAAAGTAGGAACACTTTTCATACAGGGTAGATATGCCACCTAATTTATGCTTTTTCATAGATCAGTTTTCCTGGAAGAGAACATAACAGTTCATCCAATCTACCCCTTAGTCTTCAAATACGGCCTTTCTTCCCTCTGCCCCACAGAAATTGTTTTGTAAACTTCTCGCATACAAAACACAACCTTTAAAAATGTGCATTGCTACTCTCAACTCCAAACCTTTCAAGTTCTAACCCAAAGCATCAGAATCAAACTAACTACTATAGGATACTTTTTCTCCCCTAATTTTTTTTTTACTAAAGTTTTTATATTAATAAAATATTTGACAACTTGATATTTTTAAAGTTTGAGAATAACATAACTGAAAAACACAAAAGAAAGACACTACCTCTGTAGGAAGTGAGTAGAAAGAAAGCCATGGCGATCATTAGTTACTGGATTCCGAAAAAGTTTGCTCTTTGTTTGGGCAGTCACTATAGTCCCATCAGCTAAGGAGAACCGATACACAGGAGTTTCAGCATGTCCTTGGATATAAGCTGTATGAGAGAAATTAACATTGTAGACTGTATCAGTGGAACACATCTAGCAAAGATTAGAAAGAAAATATATTTGAAAATACAATTTTTCCAAGATTATGTAACATTAAGTTCTATATAAAAATTATAAGTACGCCAAAATCAAAATTCTTAAGATACATTCTTATGAGACACTGCAAGTGTACACATAACAAAAATAAAATTCTAAATGTAACAATTCAATGTAAAAGATTCTAAATGTAACAATTCAATCTTTTTTTTAAAGTTCCTTACCTTCCTGATAGTGCCGTTTTTGGGACCATGTCTGTCCATCATTAAGGCTAAAAAATCTCTGGATACACCTTCTGATTATATCTTCAAAGCCAGGTCTCATGGAAGACCTCAGTGAATTTGTATCTATAGTGACAACTTTGCCTGTTTTTAAAGTATGAAGGAAATAAAATATTTATGAGACGTCCACTATGTGGAAGCACTGTAGAAGATAAAGAAAATGAGGGGCAGCTAAGTGGCGCAGTGGACAGAGCACTGGCCCTGGATTCAGGAGGACCTGAGTTCAAATCCGGCCTCAGACAAATAACACTTACTAGCTGTGTGACCCTGGGCAAGTCACTTAACCCCATTGCCTAGCCAAAAAAAAAAAAGAAGATAAAATGGAATTAAGTTGAATCAACAATGAACTACAGAACAAGCTCATGTCTTTCTTAATCATCTGGTGTCATGACTATGTATTTCAGATACTGCCCATATCATCTTTGTATGCATAGCACTGACCGCTGAAGAATGACAACACGTCTAACCATAATATTTTAGAGAACATCTGAAAACATCTTATTATCGTTTCCTTTCACTTCTGGGTGGCTTCAGTGGTTGAAATGTTGCCTTTATGATTCTCTCTAACTTCATAAAACATTTCATGTATAAACAGTAACCGCTTTTTTGTCTAAATTTAGAGGACCAAGCAACCCCTCTCTTAAATAATTCATTAAATATTTTACTGAGCATATGTGATATGCTAAGAATTTCTGAGAAGCTACAGATATTCAGCTAATCCTACAAAGTATAACTGGAAACTTATCAGAGGTTTCTCTAAGTGTACTGCTATCTCTTTCAACTAAACTCTTTAACTTTCAGGATGCAACAGGTGAAGAATATTTTAATATAGCCAGTGAAAAGTCTCAAGATCCACTGTAAATTTTGAGTATTTTGCCAGTTTTTAAAATATCCACATCAATTACTGCAGATGAATAAGACTAACTTAATTTGACAGGTCACTAATCCCAAAAAAGGGATCCCCTCTATTGTTTCTTGTATGTCAGTACATCTCTTTGGTCAAATTAGCTGGCTGCTCTCCTGAAATCATTAAATAAATCAAAACAATAATACCACAATGCTCCAAGTGAGATGAATGTAGAAGTTGGTGAGGTCTACCTCTGACATGAATCTATTCCTCACTTCAACATCACTGGAACTGAGAGAGTGAGCCTTCCAGTCTTGATCCATCTCTGGGAATGAAGGTCTGATTTCCCTGAACTACTTCTGCTCTGACTCCGAACACAAAACCACCAAAGCTCTCCCCAAAACTACGAGGCCAGGACGATGGGGGTATAGCTGGTATTAAAAGTTCCTTCCCTACTCTCTTCAGATTTGGGTTCAGAGTCCACCTTGCCACAAAAGCTACTACCACACACTGGTATTCATTCTGCACTGTGTCACCAAGCTATCTAAGAACATAGCACTTCAGTTCTATAATAACCATGGAGCACCCAAAACACTAGGCCTATCGGGGCCCCTCTCAGGGCCTTTTACACTCTGGCCAACTAGTAGCTAAGTTCTAATGTGGAATATCATCATCTTGGGATGAGGCCAAGGAATTGGTATCAATACAGTGAAGCCCCCAGGGCTTGATCATCAAACAGTTACTGACTCTGAATCACCCCAAAGCTTCATGCTGCCTCCATACACAAACTCCCAGGAAAATAAGTAGGCTGATGCCACTAGCAGGGCAGGTGTCCTCCTAATATCATGGTACATCAGAGAATAAGGGTCACCCACCTACTGGTGCTTTCCCTGGCTAATGGCTAGCAAATGTCTACAGCCTAGTCCTCAATGCCTATAATTCAGAACTTTGACTTGCCAAAGCCCCAAACCCGCCTTTACCTGAAAATATTCACTGCTCATTGATCCCTATCCAGTAGTACCCATCCCTAGTCTCTGTCCTCCTCAGGCCTCTGAAATGGTTTCATCCAACCTTTTCACTCACATTCTTTTCATCTTTTTACAATCACAAAAATGTGCCTCCATCCAGAAATACTACATGTATCAAATGGACTCATTCTCTCATGCCTCAAATCTGTAACTACAAGTGGCCTACAAGAAAAACAGGTATACTCTGTTGTCATTATTGGCCCTTCCAGACCCTACCCTCTGCATGTCACTCATATACAAGGTGTAGTCCAGATGCCTGTGGCTAAACAACACCAAGTACCAAATCACTTTCCCTCCTTTCACAAGTTCAATACAATTGTCTGTCTTAGCACATTTATCAATCTCAACGCTTGGGGCATATGTTCACTCTACCTCAGCTATCCATACAACTAGGTGGCTCAGTGGATAGAGCACTGGGCCTGGAATCAGGAAGAACTGAGTCTAAATCTAGCCTCTGACACTTTGTGACCCTGGGCAAGTCACTTAACCTCTGTCTGCTTCGCTTACCTCAACTATAAAATGGGGATAATAATAGCACCTACCTGCCAGGGCTGTTGTGAGGCTCAAAAGACATTATTTGTAAAGTGCTTAGCACAATGTCTGACATTTATTAAATGCTTTTTTCCTTTCCTTCCTTCCTTGTTATTTTATTTATATTTATATATATATATATAAAAAATATTATATATATATGTATCTCACAATAACCTATAATTATGAAATTCCCATTTTCACATCTGTCTCTGACTCACTACTCTCAATCCTATCTTTGACCTCATTGTGAAAACCCAATACCTTCACTCTTCCATGTTCTCATAGTCTTATCATCACTGTTATGGGCTATTTTTCCTACCTTCATATCCTCAACCTTATATTTAACCAGTTGAATTATACACTATTCTCCAATTCTGAATGAATGAGCATTTTTCAAGTGCTCACAAGATGCCAGCCACTGTGTGAAGTGCTAGAAATACAAGTAGAAGCAAGCAAGAAAATCCTCTGCCATCAAGGAGCTTAAAGTCCAAAAATTGAAGACAATGAACGTAGGGGAATCATCTTTCCAAGAATGGTAGTATTGATGTGATTACTGTTCTGAGCAAAAGTAGGGGGAGTTTATATCAACAAAAGTGAGATCAAATCAGAGAAAAGATCTAATGTCTTACCTAATAGGACAAGTTCATAAATAGGTAATCCATAATGATTCCATTTATTAAATCAATGTATAAAACATTCCAAAGAAATTTCTCTTAGCACTTTGGAGGAAAAAAATTCTCCAAACATTGCTAATGCCCTGGCAATCCTAAGTCCAGTGCAACCCCCACATTCTGACTTCTTTGCAATTCCATGCATACTTCTGAACATTGGTGGTGGAAGTCATGGGTTGCAACATACCAATTTGGCCCACTACAAATTCATGTAATATAATCTCAACTAGAATCTCACGTTTTTATACCATATTCCTTTTATGTTTCCATACTCAACTATTATTCCCAACAATGTAGATGTTCCAAACCCCCTCTCTCTTCAAACCAACTATGTCATTACTTTCCTCTTAACAGAGGTCTTTTGCCTCTTTACAAAGAAAAATAAAAGCCATCAATCCTGACCTACAATTCTTTTCCCCTATTCCATACTTTAAACTTCTGACAATTATTCCTTTTTCTCTACTACTCTGCTCCAGTCTCTAGGCAATCCTGCTTCTAATTCTAGAATTTTATTTAGTTTAATTTTTTTCAATTAATAACCTGGTATCAAATATGCATAGCCAAACAAAACAAATTGCTACTGTGGCCGTTAACAAAGTGTGTGTGTGTGTGTGTGTGTGTGTGTGAGAGAGAGAGAGAGACAGAGAGACAGAGAGAGAGACAGAGAGACAGAGAGAGAGAGAGACAGACAGAGAGAAAGAGGGGGAGAGACAGAGAGAGAGAGAGAGAGAAAGAAAGAGAGAGAGAGAGATTTTATAGCCTAAAATCATCACTTCTGTTAGTAAGTGGGTAAAATGGTACATAAATAATCCTTTGGAATCATGGTTGGTAATAATTTTGCTCAGAGTTCTTAATTTTCTTTTCTTTTCTTTTTCTTTTTTTTTTGGGGGGGGGGCTAGGCAATAGGGTTAAGTGACTTGCCCAGGGTTACACAGCTAGTAAGTGTTATTTGTCTGAGGCTGGATTTGAATTCAGGTCCTCCTGAATCCAGGGCCGGTGCTCTACCCACTGCACCACCTAGCTGCCCCCAGAGTTCTTAATTTTCCAATGTTAGTTGGACTTTGCAATAATTATGTTATTATTATTTTAATTGCTCTCTTGCTTTATTCTTCACTCTGCCTCAGTTCATACAAGTTTTTTCAAGTTTCTCTAAAACCACTGACATCAACATTTCTTACCACAGTAATATTCCATTTAATTCATAAACTATAATTTGTTCAGCCATTTGGTTATTGGACACCACCTTAGTTTCTTGTTTTTTGCCACAGTTGCTATATTTTGACCATAAGAGTCATGGTAGCAGGGTGAACATAAAGGTCATTTATTCTTTATTCTTTTGGCTTATACCAACCTAATAGTGGTATTCCTAGGTCAAAGGGTATATACACAGTTTAGTAACTTTAGGGACAGAGTTTCAAATTGATTTCCAGAATGGACAGAACAATTCACAATTCCAGAATAGGATGTTACGTACTTGTTTCACCACAGCCCCATCCAGCATCTGATATTTTCCTTTTGTGTCCAGTTTGCAACTCTAATTGGTGTGAGGAACATTAATCAGGCATTTAAAGCTCTTCATAACTCACAATATCTTTCATTCTACTTATACATTGCATCCTGCCATGTATTCAGTGTACAAGTATTCCTCATATACAACACCATTTCCCATCTCCATGCCTATACATAGTAGGACCCCATGCCTGGAATGCTATCTTACTCACCTGTACCTCTTAAAATTCCTAGCTTCCTTCTAGACTCAGATTTAATGCAGCTCTTTGCATAAGGATATTCTTACACCCTCAATTGCTAATATATTTCCTTGTAAGATTACTTTCCATCTACTTTATATCTATCTTTTATTTACTTATTACTACGTAGAAGGAATATACCTTCAACTAAAGCACACAAAATATTATGTGGATTCAATAACAAAGTGTTCCTAAAAGAAATAAACAACAATTTAAATAGCTGAAGAAATATTCAGAGCTCATAGCTGGGCCATGCCAATTTAATAAAAGTAGAAATTATGATATTACCAAAGTTAATTTATAGTTTTAATGTTCTGTGAATCAAACTATCAAAGGAATACTTTATAGAATTCAATATAATAATAAAAATCAACTGGAAAAGCAAAATATCTAGAATACTAAGGGAAATAATGACTATAACACTTCTAGACCTCAAACTATACTATAAAGCATGTCATTAAAACCATTTGGTTTTGGTATTAGTTAAAAATTAGAGAGGTAGATCAGTGAGGAAGAGATTAGACAATGGAGAATCAGAAACAATGGAATATAATTTAGTGTTTGAAAATCCAGAAAACATAAATTAGACAGGAAAATACCACTCATTTAATAAAAACTGATGGGAAAATTCAAAATCAGTATGGGAGATATTAGTCTTAAACTAACATTTTCTGCCATATTACACAATAAACTCTAAATGGATTCATTAGAGTAATATTATGACCATACCATAAAAAAAATTAGAAGAGAAGCAGATAATATACTTTTCACATTTATGGACAGGAGGTAAATTCTTAACCAAACAAGGGGGTAGAGGAGATTGGAGAAGATAAAACTGAAAATTTTGTTAACAAAATTGAAAAGCTTCTGCACAAACAAAATTAATGCACTTAAAATAAGAAAAGTAGTCAAATGTGGATAAAATCTTTGTATAAAATTTCTTAGATAAGGGTTTAGTATCAAAGATTTTAAAAAAAATAATGTATTCACATGAGAAAAGAGAGGGAAGGGAAGGAAAGGGGGAGGGGAGGAAGGAGACGAAAGAGAGGAAGAGACCAAAAATGGTTCCCCAATTGATAACTGATGAAAAGATACAAACAAAAAGTTCTCAAAAGAAGAATTGCAAAGTAATAACAATATAAAAGATTGTGCCAAATCACTAATAAGAAAAATTCAAATCAAACCAACCCTAAACTTTTACCTCTCTCACACTCTATATATGGAAAAGACGATAAAACATGGGATTGTTCAATGTTGGACAGCTTCTAGGAATATAGTGTACTGTTGGTGAAGTGGTGAAGCAATACAATCATTTTGGAAAGCAATTTCAATTATGTACCATAAATTTTGACCTAGAGAGTCTAAAATTAGGCTTATGTCCCAAGGAGGTCAGTAATAAGAAAAAAATTCCCACATACAGCAAAACATATATATCAGCAACTTTAGTGATAGCAAAATATTAGAAACAAAGTAGATAGCCATTTATTGGAGAATGTTAAAACAAATTGTGGCACATGAATGTAATGTAATATTATTATAATGAGAAATAAGATTTGAGATATGATACAGACTGAAATAATCAGAGCCAAGAAAATCATGCACAATACAACAAAAATGGAAAGAACCACAAACAAAATCAAAAGGCAATATTACAAAATTTTAAAGAGTAATAATGGCCTTTAAAAAGAAATATGAAAAGATACCCTCAAAACTACTTCTTTTAAAAAAGTGAGAGGATAATTAAGTGAAAAAAATAAGAGGATCCACAGATATGATACATTGCTCTTATTTTCAGATTTTTTCAATGTGTTGATCAGTTTTGCTGATTTTTTTCTGTTATCAAAAATATTATTTGCTACATGGGATGGGTCTCTGGAAAAGGGAGAGGCAAGGATACTAGGAAAAATTTTGGTGGCATAAAAAAACAAAAGATATAAATAAAAATCTGCTTTAAAAAAAAAAGAAAGCATGTACTTTGAGGACAAAGACTGTTTTTGATATTTCTTTGTGTCCTCAGTATTTAGCACATTGCCTGGAACATAGGGAATTAAAGGCTTAATAAAGGCATGTTATTGATTGGATTGTTGTTAGTTTTTTTACACATTATATCCCCTCAGTAGAACGTAAGATTCTTCAAGGAAAGGAATTTCACTTTGGATTTCAGAATCTACTAACAAGCAATAGATATAATAAATTTCTGCTAAAATGAAGTAACATAACATATCTGTTATGTATTAAATTGCAATGGATAAGCAAGAGGTGATTCTGGATTACATTACATAATCTTAGAGTCCAGGAAACAAAAGAATCTAAACTTTCAGAAAGGATTACATAAGAAAATGGATGGGCAAGGGGGAAGAGAATAACAATTAGTATATACTAAAGTGGAGATGTGGCTAGACCAGGTTAGGGATTCAACATGGTTAATGCTAACAATAAACAATCACTACAAAGAAAGGTACAAGAGACAAAAGCAGCTTTTGAATCATTACCATAGAAAGGAAGAGACCTCAGATGATAAAAAAAAGTTAGCATTTCACTACACAACATTAGCTAAAATGTCCAGCATAATAACTGTGTTTCTCTAGCAATCAGGAGATTTAAACTGTGACTTCTTAATCACAGTTTAAAATACTGACTCGGTAAATGGGTTAAACATAAATGTTTTATTTTTGTTTCTTAGGCATAAACCCAGGTGCAAGACTGTCCTACTAAGGAGACAATTAAGACTTCCAAATCATAAGGTAGGAACTATTAAGTCACTTGATTGACTGATGTTTTTTGTTTTGTTTTGTTTTGTTTTTGTCCTTCAACCTTAAATTCACGTAAAGATTTGAATGAGAAATAATAAATACCAAAGAGCTAAAGTACATAAGCACATGGCAATCTAAAAGGTGAAAAATTTCACTGTAACATTAATTTCACAACAGTATGAGACAGAGGAGAATGATTTCAGAAAAATCTAGAAAGATTTTTATGAGCTGATGCAAACTGAAGAGAGTAAAACCAGGAGAACATTGTACACAGTAAAAGCAATATTGTAATGGTGATCAACTATGAAAGATTTGGCTACTCTGATCAATACAAGGATTCAATACAATTCCAAAGGACTCATGATTAAAAATGCTATCCACCCCCAAGAAGAGAACTGATGAACTAAGAGCACAGATTAAAGTATATTGCTTTTCACTTTATTTTTCTTGTTTTTGGTTTTTTGGGGGGGGGAGGGAAGAACATGGCTAATACAGAAATATTTTGCATGACTTCACAAGTATAATGGGCATCATATACTGCTTGCCTTCTCAATGAGTAGGGGAAAGGCTGGAGAAAGGGAATGTTAAAAATAATAATAAAGTATGAGGCATAAAAATTAACATTAAAATAAAAATATGGACAGAAACTCAACCCTTGCAAAAAAAAATTCTATGTAGTTTGCTTTTTTCTTAAATTCACTTTATTGACATCATTTACTAAAAAGATGGAACATATAGCATTGTGGCAAATATTTTTTTTTAAATGTGGATGTGGGAGGATGAAACCAGGCATACTTGTAGCACTGATTAGTCTTACCTGAAAGGTCATGTTTAGTAATAAAGCTTTCAGGGTTTGAAGGGAACACTGTACTGATGCGGCGTGCCACACATATCATACAAGATTGTAAATCTGTAAATAAAAATTTAACCCATTTCAGATTTGACAATATTTTATGAGGATAATAAGTACTTTGAAAGATGAATAAAGAAACATAGAAACACAATGATTTAATCATTTCATCTTTTCCTTTTGTTTTACACATTTGAAATATAACACTTACCTTCTCCTTCCTCCATCATAGCTCGTGGCTGAGATAAGGCAAAACACTGCATTGTCTCATATCTCTGGCGCATATCAGGACTGCCACCCACATCATCTAGAATATCATGCACTGTTTTCACCAACATACGGCAATTAAATGTGTGACTTTTTTGTCTAGGTGTCTCACTTGTCCATGGATCTCCATTTACTTTAGAAAACAAATCATAGGAGAAAGAAATAGGAAACAAAATGTCACTTCGGTATACAAGGAATCTAAAGCTCAGTACACTCAGAACACAAAGCAGTATTTTGCATACTTCAGTAGAGGAGTTGGATATACTAAATATTTTACAAATCATCAATTGAGTACTATATTCCAAGATTAACACAAATTCACCGGGAACTGCAGTCATGGGAACTGTCTAAATCAGGGGCGGGGAATCTGCAGTCACAGGGTCACATGTGGCCTCCTAAGTCCCTAGGTGCAGCCTTTTGACTGAGTCCAAGTTTTACGAACAAATCCTTTTATTAAGAGGATTTGTTCTGTGAAGTTTGGATTCAGTCAAAGGCCTGCAACTGAAGACTAGAGAGCAACATGTGGACTTGATGCCACAGGTTCCCTACCCCTGGTCTAAATAAATAATTGATAACTGTTTGAATGTTAAAGAAGATTGTGTATGTAAGAACACAAACACATCACTGCTTCTAAAAGCTCTATTTGGATGACTTTAGTCAAACTTTCCAAAACTGAGCTAGATAACTAAATAAAAAAATGTTTTTGGGTGTGTTTTTTTTTCTTAAACAAAAATATAATTACCTGCTGACTTGGGCAAATTCTTGAGAAAATCCTTTCTGTCATCTTCATGCAAGATACTGTAGACACTGGTATTAACCAAGTCTTCTTGCTTATACTGCAGGTACTGTGTGACATTTTCTGACACAAATACAATGGTCCCATCACGATTCACCACAAAGAGAAAACCATCTAAGGCCTAAAACATAATTGTACAAATATATATTAATATCTGACTTGATTGGGTTTGGTTAAAAAGATCTTTTATTTTAGTACCAAATGATTAAAACAGCTGTCTTATACTCCCCCCCCATCTATTCTTTAAGAAAGTACACAAAACTAAATTAACACTTTTCCATTATTGGTATTAGTATTAATTTTGATTGTAAACCCTTACAGTCATAAAACAAAGGGAGACAAATATAATTTTCAGAACAACACACAAAATTTAGGTTCAAGTTCACAATAGGAATGCATAAAATGTAAAAGCTTTTGCAAAAATAAATTCAACACAATCAAAATTAGGAAAGAACAAACAAATGGGAAATAAATACTTGCATTCAACATTTCTGAAAGTGTGAAGTACAGAACCAGCTGCACCCCTTGGATTCAATGCCATGTATCAGCTTTGGGACCCACATTGTATCAGTATCATCAGCCACAGTCCCTCTGATTGGAGCAAAAAACTCGTCCCAAAGCTTTCATTTAAAAAGGGCTCTAAATCCAGCCATTTCTCACCCACTGACCTCCTGGAAATCAACTCCACAACCATCATACCCTACCCTGCCCCACCCTGCCCTTCCCCCAAACCCCTCCCAATTTAAACTACCTTTTGGGTGCTGTCTTCCCTCATTGTAAGCACCTTCAGGACAAGGACTGTGTTCTTATCATTTGAATCCCCAGCAATTACAGTGCCTGGCATACTGTAGGTGCTCAATATTTACATAGTATTGAATTGAAAGAATGACAGAAAATCTATATGAAATTGATGTATATAAGATTAAATAAGGGGCAGCTAGGTGGCGCAGTGGATAGAGCACCAGCCCTGAAGTCAGGAAGACCTGAGTTCAGATCCAGCCTTAGACCAAACACTTGACATGTACTAGTTGTGTGACCTTGGGCAAGTCACTTAACCCTGATTGCCTCACCAAAAAAAACAAAAACAAAAAAAGATTAAATAGATGTGATCAAAATTATATAGAGAGCTTTCAAAAGAAATTGAAACTATTATCTTAAAAACTGTTCAGAATTACTCATTAATACCCATTTTAAAAGCTGTAGTATCCCTCACACAGTTCAAATTAGAAAAGATGATTATTTATAAGGGATAATTCAATTCTGGAGGGGCTATGGGAAGACAAGTATGCTAATTCACTGCTGATGAAAGTGTAAACTTATCCTACCATTTGGGAAAAATTTTGGATTATATGAGTAAAGTTACTTAATACTTCATATCCTTTAACCGAGAGACTTTACTGTGGAGATTATACCCAAAGGAGGTCAATAAAAAAAGACTCAGGGGCAGCTAGGTAGTGCAATAGATAGAGCATCGACCCTGGGGCCAGGAGGACCTGAGTTCAAGTCCAGCCTCAGACACTTGATACTAGCTGTGTAACCCTGGGCAAGTCACTTAACCCCGACTGTCTCACTGAAAAAAAAAAAAAAAAAAAGACTGACATGTATACACACATTCATAGTAGCATTATTTGTGGCAATAAAAACTTAAAATACATATCCAATAATTGAGGGTGGTCTAACTGTGATATATGAATGGCAAACATTATATATGAAATTCTGAAAAATGAAGAAAGTAGAAACAAGATGAATACAATGGCCACAAAAGTATACATAAAGGTATCACTAAAAAAGGAAACAAAACTAAGGTGAAATACACAGGACAACATAGGTCCATACTATCAAAGGTCATAAATGATAATTATAGATTTTTCTGATAATTCATAAACAACAAAAGTAGAAATTAACATGTACGAACATAGTGCAATCACACTGAGATGGTTTTACTTAAAAATTTGGGGGGAACATACTTTGTTGGAGGGTGGGAAGGTTCTGTTTTTGTTGGGAAGTGTTTCGTATTCAAACAAAATGTATAAATTTAAATTCTGTTTTTCAAGGATTTTATCTTTAATAAAAAATTTTTGTAAAATCTTGAGGAAGCAGGAAAGGACATGAAATTTAAAAAAAAAAAGTAAAACAGAGGCACCTAGAAGCAGGAGGTCAAAAAATGGACTGACTAGATTTGTTTCCATATCTTAAGAATCTGAAATATGTTTCTCTGATATTTAGAGAATACTTCATTTAAAGCACTGTCATTTGATGGAAAGAGAGCTAGTATAACAAGGCCTAGGTTAGAATCCCAGCTCTTCTCCTTACCTGTGTGAGATAACACAAGTCTCTCAATCTTTTGGGGCCTCACTTTCCTCATGGCGTACAGACAGAAAGTTGGCCTAGAAACTCGTAAGACCCAGGTTCCAGTCTTGCCTCTCACACATACTGGCTGAATGACTCAGAGGGCAAGTCACTTAACCTCACAGTGGCACAGACAGTTCTCTAAAATTAAGTTGCAGAGAAGGCTCCGACCTCTATTGGCAAAGGGAGTTTCCTCATCTGAGAGTTCCCTATATCAATGAAATCACAGGTCCAGTACCTCTGTACATATTCCTATCCCTATTCTATCAATTAGGGAAATTGTAACAAAAAATTAAACATGTTTTTAATACTTACAAAGATTGTTTACCTTTACTATCACATTAAAATATTAATACTTTTAACTACCAATCCTAAAAAGAAAAATGTTTCTAAAATTCTTTTTAATACCATTCATAACTGTATCATTTTTACCATTCTAACATTGACAATTATTTCAAAATATATGGCACATGAGTAGAAACTGAAGAGTACCTATAAATTCAGGAATGGCTGAAATAATTATAGTATATGAATATAATGAAATATTATTGTGCTACAAGAAATGATGAAGGGAATGGTTTCAGAGAAACCTGGGAAGATTTGTATGAATTGATGCAGAATAAAGTGAGCAAAATCAGGAGAACAATTTATACAATAACATCAATACTGTAAAACAAACAACTTTGAAAGAGTTAAGGACTCTCATCAATACAATGACCAACCACGATTCCAGAGAACCAATGATGATATCTTACCCAGCTCTGGACAGACAGGTGATGGACTCAAGATACGAAGAATAAGACATATTTTTAGATGGTGCCAATATGATAACTTAATTTGTTTGAATATGCATATTTGCTGAAAGGGGTTTGTTTTGCTTTTTTTTTCTTCCAATGGGAGAGGGGAAGTAGATAAAATAAAGGCTTGTTAATTGAAAAAAAGTTAAATTGTAAAAATAAATTTATAGCATAACTGTCATTTGGTTCAACTTTTTCATACTTGCCTGCAGTAAAAGTGGTCCTAAGGAATCTTTATCAATAACTCCCTGCCCTGTAGAAGATACATCAGCTTTCTGAACATCATCATCAATGGAAGCTGCCTTTCCTAAAGAGACAGAAGAAAGTTCTTCAAATGACTCTAGTTATGCTGGTTAATAATTACAAAATGATCCAAAACAGATATACAGCATACATTCTGTTCCCTTAACAAGGGTATTATTTGATCACGAAAACATATAACTTGAACAGGAGCTCAAAAGAGATGGTCTCAATTTTGTTAATAAAAAAGAAGGCAAAGTCAAGTGTTGGGTAGGGCAGGAAGCACATGTGACATAGAGGTGGTTAATGAGAGACAGGACTGGAACAGCCACTGCATGAAGCTTGATAAAGATTTAGTCAGGGAAGATTTTTTTATAAATCTACCATCAAGCAATGAAGGTAGAAACAGATTACAAAAGTATTTTCAGATGTGATTAGGTCTGTGGATAGTTAACATGGGGAAGAGATATAAGTCACAAGACTGCAAGTGGGTGCTGAAACAGAAGGTCAAGTTGCTTGCTGAACTATTCTCTTTTTTTTATTTTTCATTGTGATTTGTTTAGTAACTTTAAACTTAAAATGTAGTTTTAAATAAAGTTTGGACTTGTCTGTAAAGAAAAAAAAAGAAAGATATAGCAATGAAGGCAGGGGTTGGGACAGAAAACGTGGATACTCAGGTACTGAATTCCTTGTGAAAGGAAGTAGAATGGCCTAGACTCCAGCAAATAACAGCATGAAGGATATGGATAGGGTGATAGAGGTGTCTGAAATGAATATCAGAAGAAAAGGCTGCTGAGTGTTTGTGACAAAGGGAAGGCCCGGAAGAGGTACTGGGGACCAAGGACTTTGCTACAACCTTCTCCTGACCAAGTGAACTGAGGCCATGACAGAAGGCACAACACATAGAAAGGAAACATGTCCAGGGATAAAAAAAAAAAATCTCTTGGGGAAAAAACAGGTTTTCATTAATACAATAAGGCTGTGAGAGGAAGAAAATCAAGAATGAAAAGGAATTTGTTTATAATAGTGGGTTCCAGAGGGCAGAGAGCAGAACAGGGAGAAAAAATTAATCTGAGAAGTCAACAGCTGGCTAAGAAAATGAAACTTAAAATTGCTGGACCATGACTTACAATATTATGAGATCACAGATTCCTGGCCAGAGATGAAGTATACCTAACAAAAACTAGTAAGAATATACTTGACAAGTACCTGGCATATCTAATCAAAAGGGCTTCAAAGTGAAAAAAACAAGGGAAGGAGACAACCTATGTATAACCCCCAAGGTACATACTAGACAGTACAGCTACCAGAAGAATAATTAACAGTTGAAAAATCCAGAAATCTACCTGAGACAAGAGCCAATAAAGGAATCAGTATTAAAACCTCTGACCTCAACAAATCCCCAAAGTTAAAAAAAAAACCAAAAACCACTAGAGAACTAGTGGTCCAAATGCAAGGAGGCAAATTTGACTTCATAGATAACCCTGCAACTTTGTGATATGAAATCCATCCAGACAATGGTTCTGGATGAGTATACTTTATTTAAAAGAATAAGGGTAAGTAGCAGGACAGCGAAGGGTAACCTCAGATATTAAGAATGTTTGCTATTATATATAAATGGTAATGATTTCTTTGGGTTTACTTTGTAGCCTGAAACTTTGTTGAAGGTAATAACAGTATCAATTAGTTTTCTTCAATGACTGCCTATTATTTTCTAAGTAACCATCATGACATTAGCAAACAGAGATAATTTTGTCTTCTCTTTGCTTCTCTGTAGGTTTTAATTTCTTTCTTTTGTCATTGCTATTGCTACCATTTCTAGAACTCTATCAAATAATAGCAAGAAAAATGAATATCCATGTTTTATTCCTGGATTTATTTGGAAAGTTTCTCTGGTGCATTCACATCATATATGATTGCCTAATTTTGACTTTAAATACACAAGATCTCTCTATGCCTATATTTTGCATAGATTTTAGCATAAATAAGTGCTGTACTTTATCATAAAAATATTTTAAATTTTTTAATCAAAGTTTATTTATTTATATTGATTTATAATTCTCCTGTCCTTTAGTCTTCCCTGGTTTAGGTCTGTATCGGTTTCATAAAAGGCATAGAGTTTTTCCACAGGAGCATCACTATTAAATGTTCTTTAAAAGTTTGGCAGTATTCCATCAGGACCAAGAGTATTTTTCTTCAGTACTTCCTTTATGGCTAGTTCTATTTCTTTTTCTGAGATTGGGTTATTTAAGATCTCTATTTATTTAATTTGGGAATTTTATATTTTTGAAGGTTTTTCTGTGTTCTTAGTTTTGTTGGCATATAATTGTGCATAAATTCTGATAATTCTTTTTATTTCTTTGAATTGTGTTAGGATTTCACTTTGTTCATTTGATATTTTGCTGATTTGAATCTTCTGGGTTCCATTTAGAGAGACATAGTTTCTAGGCATACGGAGGAAATAATCCTGCTGTAATCTGCCCTCATCAGTCTTCATTTGGAATACTGTGCTCAATTTTAGGCACTCTATTTAAGAAGGACATTGATAAGCCAGAGAGTGATCAGAGAACAATCAACATGATCAAGGCCTAAAGTTCATGACATATGAGGATCAGTTGAAGGAGCAGGGCACATTTAACCTGGAAAAGAGAAGACTCAGAAGGGGCATTCAGGGATTAAATTTGTTCTATTCAAACCAAAAGCAAGGGGAAGAAGTTACATCTCACCACTTGTTGGGTATGTGATGATGGGTACCGCTTTAGTGTACAGGTTGGACTAGATGGCCATTGAGGTCCTTTTCAACTTCCAATTCTGTGATTCTGAGTGGGAATATATAAGACAGAGCTAGATAGGAATGAGAGTTACAGGACAGGAGCAAAGAACCTCTGAAGTTCAAGGATTAGGCAGCCAAAAGGAAGGAGTTTGTGAACCATGGCAGGGTAAGTGCCAACTGATCACAGCATGAGACCATTGAATCAATGGTAAAATTGGGAATTGGGAAGGTCATGTGTTAAAGGCAAGAACTAATCCTGAGCCCTCTAAAGCTAAGAAAAATATTTTACCCTTCTGTACCCCATGATCACAGGGGACTATTAGGAATGAAAAAACTAATAGTAAGAGCAGCCAGGAGGCTTATGGTGAAAAAAGGCTATTGTCCCACGAAGCACACGGCCAGTTCACTCCATCCCTCTTACTCACAACCAAAAATTAAAAACCGAGGCAGGGATGCTGATAGAAGTGATACAAATACTGTTTCAATCCTGAAGAGCAGCACTCCTACAAACCTGGGTTCTTAAGAGTGAAAACAGACTGAAGAGATAGCAATTTCTGGGTAATAATGATGGACAACACATAGTGACAATGGGCAGAAAAGTAGACATTTCTACTGATGCTACTCAAGATGACGATACAGATGGGGGTCCTATAACGCAAATCCCTGAGAAGTCCCAGGGTCCTTCCTCAACACTCCCAGGTGGTTAATTCATGAAAGGAAAGAAGACTTTGAGGTCAGTAGTGCCTTCCCTATACTTTTTCAGTATTTCTTTCCTATTTAGGCCTATTTAGGTGGTAGAAAAGAACTTATGATGGGGGTGGGAGAAGTAGGTGTCAAGGAAAGATCCATGGAACAGGTTGCATTTGAGTTGGGCTTGGACAAGAGATTGTAAGCATAAAGGCTCTGTTAGACAAGGCATATAGATATAAAAGTTTACAACATGTAGTGGGAATGAATATGAAGTGGATTGGCTAAAGTAGAGAGTAAAAGAAAAATAATAGTATGAGATAAGCTAGAAAGGTATGGAGATGCCAAATTTTGGATGGCCTTGAATGCCCACCAGAAAAGATTTGAAGTTTACTCAGTATGGAGAAGAAAAATACCATCTTTAATCATATCGATCTATAAGAAAGATTAGTGTGGCATTGAGATTCGTGTTAGATTGGAGAGGAGAGACTCATTAGGAAGTTAATTTAAGAAAGGGAGTAATATTATCAAATTTATACATACAGAAGAATAGTCTGGTGATGATATTTAGAATCAATCAATTTTTCAACAAACATTTATTAAGTATTTGCTATATGCCAAACATCATAAAGGCAAAGACAAGCAAATTCCTACCCTGAAGAAACTTACATTTTAATGAGGGAGACAGCATGTACACATACAATTATATAAATGACACATACAAAGAAGACACAAAATAATCTTGAATAAGAAGAGACCAGACCCTGAGGTAAGCAGGAAAGGCCTCCTGCACAAGATGGCATTTGAGCTGAGTCTCAAAAGAAACCAGGGATTATAAGAGACAGAAATATGGAGGAAAAGCATTCTAAGCATAGAAAACAGCCAGTGTAAAAGCATGGAGATGGGACATGAAGCAGCATGAGTTACAGCAAGAAGGCTATTGTGACTCAACCACAGAAGGATTAGAGGGAAATGATGTAAAAGAAACTGTAGAGGCAGAAAATGACCAGGTTATAAAGAGCTTTAAATACCAAAGATAACTTTATATGCAATCCTAAAAGTAACAGGAAGCCATATGAGTCTGCTGAATAGGGAGGATGATTTGCTAAGACCTGTGAATTAGGAAAATCACTTTAGTTTTTAGGTGGAAGGTAGATTAGAGTGGGGAGAGACTTGAGGCAAGGAAACCAAATAGGAAGCTACTGCAATAGTATCGGGGGAAAGTAATAAGGGCCTGAAAGTAATGAAGGTACTGTTTGTGCGAGTGGAAAGAATAGCACATATGTGAGAGAGATTATGGAGAAGGAAATGACAAAATTTGATAACTAATCAGAAATGATCTCTCCCCTTCCTCCCATCCCCCACATACACTCAAGTACACTAATCAACAGTTCTTAAGATGTAGTCTTTCAGGAAGTGACATGTGTAAAGGAATGCTTAAGACTAAAATGTCTGAGAACTACTATGCTATACATAGGTTGGCCCAAAAGTGTAGGTGTCTCCCCCATTTGAATGTGACCTCCTTCTGGACTAGGGCCATGTCTTTACCCTTCATTGTATCCCCAACACACAGCAAAGTGCTTTGCATATATTAAGTGCTTCACAAATGCTTAGGAATTGTTGACTGATATATTGAGTTTGAAAGCCTATAGGATGCCCAGATCAAAACTATACAAATGAGATACTCTTTTTAAGAATAGCTATGATTAAGAAGAGAGCAGCAGCAAACAAAGCTAAGACAAAATAAATCAAAGAAAAGAGCCTCAATATATTTCCCTCTCTACCCACTTGTCATCTCATTCTGCTCAATCCAACTTCGCTCAGATAACTGGTTACCTGAAGACTCAGACACTAACAAAAAGGATAAAACATAGCAAAAGATATATTAAAAAAACTCTAATACAGCTCCATGCTTGAATTAATAATGGCAATCATCACTAATTGAATAGCTTTTGTAACTCAGTAATTGCCTTATTTAAAATTCCACATTACCTTGTTCCTTTATCTGTCGGATTTGTCTCACAGTTTCCTTTAAAATTGCACATTTATCTGGTTTGACATTGAAACTGTCAATGTCACTGAGATTAGCAGATATCAATTCAGCCAACTCTTCGAGGTATTTACTCTCCTGCTCCCGTCGCCACTTCTCCCCACTGCCAGTCAGACTAGGAGAAAGAACAATCATGTGATAAAGGCTCTGAATGCAGCAAGGCCAGGCAGTGGTACCAAGAACCTTGGAGGCAGGAGAAGCATGGTCCAAATGACAATTCAAACACTCACCAGTAACACAACCTAGGTGAAGTCACTTAGTATCTGTATTGTTGCTTCTCCACGTGTAAAATGAGGCCAGTAGCAATAAGGCATACTTCCTAGGGTTGTAGGGATGTAAAGAGGTTTGCAAATCTTGAAGCTTCTATCATTATTAGCTCTTACGCCAATGAACCTGTGGTTTGGTCAATGTGTAGTAACCTCCAAGGATAGAGATGGGGCCCATCCATGTCCTCCCAAAGCTTACCATAAGGGTTTCATCCAATATGCTGGTGGTCTTCCTCTATTTCTCCCCATGTCACAAGGTACCAAGAAAACCACTCTAGTAATCCATGGCATATCCCTCACTCTCAGAAACTGACCAACCTATCTCTTCATTCCATGACACAATTCTTTGATGACATACTTTACTCTTCCAAGTCCTTCACTGGCTGTTATGTTGCTGCCTGCACACACTAAACACTCAGTTTTCCATTGCCATCTGTATTATGCTCATCTGTAATTCTTCAGAGGCAGTGGTGTTCCAGAACAGCTCGAAAGTGTTAAAAATGTTTGTATCAAAAATAGGAGTCTGTACTGTTATGGGAAGTTTAGGGTGAGTAAAAGCACTTTATAATCTCCTCAAAATAATCTAGCACATTCTCTTCCCCCCTTTCAACTCTGGGTCCATCAGTTGTGTGTTTGTGTGTGTGTGTGTGTGTGTGTGTGTGTGTATGTGTGTGTACACTGATGGAACTATAGAGCATATTAGCTATTGGTGAAAGAAAACTTAGTCAATTAAAAAGACATTTTTCCAGAACTATGAATACATGAAATTGCTGAAAAACCATCCTTTAAGCTTCCACTTTAACATTAAACCATGGTATTAAAGAGCAGAATGTTACTACAAAGACGAAAGTTACCTCTCTATAGAAGCAGAAATACACATCTTATAATTCATGTTACTCAAATGATAAACATATTCTTTTTTGATACCGAAAACTTCATTTAGAACAAAAATGTTATGTGATACATGTCACTAAATATCCACTTAAGTCATATTATAAAACAATTTCATGAGACCAAAGAATCTCATTGAGAAGAAAACTTACACATCCAAAGCCCTATTCAATATAGGCACTCTATCAATAGCACTCTTAAGAAAGTCATTTAGGCTATTCCTGAATACCCCTAGTGACAAAGTTCTTTAGTTTATGGGGCAGCCTATTCTAATGCTGGACTGCTATGCCTGTTACAAAGCCATTTCATATCTAAAATACAATGTCCTAATGACAAGAATAACAACCAAACAATCAAAACTTAATGTTGTAAAATTTAATGAATAATCATGGGAAAAAAACATGAAAATGCATCTCTACCTATTTTTAGAAAGGTGGGGAACTATTGGCATGGAGCACTGTATATAACAACAACTGTAAATAATAATGTTAGACTTTCTGATTTGTTAGTTACTTTTGCTGACTTTTTTTTCTTTTTTGCTCTTTGTTAAGATGCACTGGGAAATGTAGGTGATATTTTAAAAAAAAGAATAGAAATAAAAATTTATTTTAAAATAACTAGATATTGCCTTTTGTGATCAACTCTGTCCCTTGTTTGGTTAAAGATGCTTCAGCTAGTCCAAGAACTGTGAAAGGTATCTGATTTCTTTGAATACTAAAGGTTACACCAAAGAAATTACATATTCACTTTTATACTGGTACAGTATATGGTATAAGATATTCATATAAACCTACTTTCTTCCAAATTGCTTTCCAGTTTTCCCATCTTGTTGTTCAGCTGTTTCAGTTGTGTCCAACCCTTCATGACCTCATTTAGGATTTTCTTAGCAAAGATACCAAGAGATTTGCCATTTTCTTCTCCATGGATCCATTTTTTTCAGGCAATCAAAGGTTAAATAACTTTGCCAGGGTCACACAGCTAGGAAGTGTCTGTGACTGGATTTGAACTCAGGTCTTCCTGACTCCAAGTCCAGTCCTCTATCCACTGAGCCACTGGTTGGCCTCAATGTTTTCCCGTGATTTCTCAAATGGAGAATTCATCCCCAGGTAATCAATATTATCAGATTTATCAAACACTGGCTTGTTAAGTTCAACAGTTTCTAATTCTTCTTTAGATAGTCTGATTTAACTTTATAATTTTTAGCCAGTACAAAGCTATTTTTATGATTACTACTTTAAGGTGTAATCTGAGGTCTGGAAATGCTCCCTCCATTCTTACTCTTTCAAAGTTTCACTTCATATAATTTTGAATACATAAAACTGAAAAGCTTTTATCTGAAGAAAAAAAACAATGCTACTGGCATAAGAAGGAAAGCTATTAACTATGGGGGAAAATCTTTGCAACAACCATCCATGATTAGGTCCCAACATCCAAGAAATATTGGTAAGTATCACAAATACCATTCCTCAATGAATAAGAGTAAAAGGATATGAACACTTCTTACCAGATGCCCACTGAATGTGGAACAGTTAAATTATATTACATTATTGTGGTATTGTAAGAAATCATTAATATTTAGACTATGGGAAAAAAATTAGTCTAATATTAGCCAACCAATAAAAAGTAAAATAAATGAAAAGCAGAAAATAATATATAGAAGGACAACAAAATAAATAGAAAAAAAAACAATCAAAGCTGAATGCCATGTAATGATAATGACCAAGGCTGGCCCCAAAGAAAAGATATGGGAATGTATTTTCTTCTGCTTTTTTGCAGAGGTATAAAATTAAGGGTGCATTAGACTTGGTTAATGTATTTATTAGTTTCACTCAGCTGTCTTCCCTCCTCTTTCTTTTCACTGTTCATTATATGAGATGGCTCTCTGGATTAAGGAAGGGAAGTATGTATTTGGAAAACATTAGTGATGTCAAAACAAAAGCTGTCAAAAAGAATTTTAATGAGATAAAATATATTATACTGAAATTTTTAAATTCATAGATGTCTGTAAAAAGCTATGTAATATTAAGTTCATATACAAAAAAGACTTTCTTACCCTTGTACTGGAGTATCACATGGCAATTTACGTTTTCGGGAATCAGCAGTCAGTGGATCTAAGGAGTTTTCTCCTAATCCACTCATTTTGACTATGCATCAGCAACTAAGAAGAGAAAGCAAAAAAATATTAAGACACAAAATATCTATTGCATAAAAATGGTCAGGCAACATTATAGCCACATTTTACAATACAGAACTTTCTTGTCTGAAGAGGCAGGACAATGAAGAAGCTGACATTGCTACGGGACACTGAACATTTTGAACACATTTTTCCTAGTTAGATCTACATACAGTATCTTACCCAACAACAGTTTTCCCAAATCTTCTCAAAACTGCATGCATTCTAGTGCTTGTTTACCCTGCCAAAGTATGAGAAGGATGTATTCAAATGGCAGCTCAACTTGAATGACCAGCACTGTGATCCTCAAAAATATCTGGTAGTTTTAGTGGACATATCAGTGAACTCTGCAAGGTAAGCACTCTAAAAAGGCACAGAAGACTTTGAAGTTCCAGGTCAGGTGGAAGAGCTCTACATATGGTCATAAAGAATAAAACAAATGCTACCTTGTTTGAAAGGTAAGGTTCCCTAGGAAAAGGAAGGGTTTTGTTTTTTGTTTATTTGTGTATGGAGGAGGGAGATATAAGTGTTCAATAAACTCCATATATTATAGACACTGGAATTTTTTAAACAAACTAATCTTTTTTAAGGGGTATTAAGGGATAGCATTTGAGGCATGGGAGAGAAGAGAGTTTTAACCAGAAGAAATTATATGAGCAAGGCATAGACATGGGAAGGTATGAAACATATCTGGGAGATAAGTATTATGGACTATGAGGTCATGAAGGAGAATGGTATGAAATAAGGCTATACACATAGGTCAGAGCCACACTGTGTCTTTGAATGCTGACCAAATATGGCCTTTATTTGGCAGGCAATAGAGAACCACTTGTGTTTTTTAGCTCAGCAGTGAAATAATCAGAGCTATGGTATTAGGAGATTATTATGACGGAAGTATATAGACAGAATTGGGAGAGGGAAAGAGATTGGAAGAAAAGTCAATCAAGTGTCTATCATAATAGTAATAGCTAACATTTATGTGGCACTTTAAAATGTTAGCTAAATACTTTAAATATTATTATGTCATTTGATCCTTACAACAGCCCTGCTAAAAAAACAAACTAATGGGGGGAAGAGGTAGAAGCTTCAGATTTTCAGAACAGTACAAAAATTTTAAGTATTCCTGTGAGGTAGGTGCTATTATTATCTCTATTTTACAAATGAAGGAGATGAGTCCAAGAGAGGTTAAGTGACTAGCCAGGCATTTGAGGCAAGATGACACCACAGGCCCTTCCAGACACCCACACACCACACACACAGTATTTTATTCACTACATCACCTGTCTGCCTCATAATAACATGAATGGAAAGGAAAAGATGGATGTGCAAGTTATTAAGGGAATATAACTGACAACACACAGCAACTAATTGGAAATGAAAAGTGGAAAGGGAAGAGTCAAAGATAGCCCCCCAAAATTTCGAACAGAGGGTAACTAGTAAGAGGAAGCAGAAACAAACAGGAGTAAAATAGGTAACCAGGAGACAATAGTGGCACAGAAGCCAAAGGGGAAGAATATAATCTCAACAAGAGCAGTCAAGAGCATCAAATCATACAAAACAGTCAAGGGGAACACAGACTGGAAAAGTGCCAATTTTGGCATTTAGGTCAGTGATGACCTTCAGGAATATTATAACTCTTCCTTACTATATACAACTAAATTAAGTGTACAGCAGTATTTAAGTTTGAGGTTATAAACAATTCAAAAAGCTGATTTAAACAGGAAAAGACTTCTAGAAGGGGGGGGGGAACCCACCTACTAAACCTAATTAAAACCATTTAAAATAATTGGCTTATAAAATATTAATTGACCTCTAAGGACACTTTTATTAATCTAGTCTAACACTCTCATTTTACAGATGAGAAAAATGAGGCCCAGAGAAGTCACATGACTGCCTAGCTGTAATTATCTAAATATTTTGGGAGAGGAGAAGTAATTTGGGTTATGAAAGAAAAATGGAGTGAAGTATTTGCCTACTAAATCTACTTTCAAATCAAAAAATTTATGCCTGAAAATCTTTTCTCTACCATTAGAATGAACTTTTGCTCCTTGAGGACAAGAATTGTTTTTGCTTTTTCTTTGTATCCTCAGAATTTACACACAGTGTTGCCATATAGTAAACTCTGACCAAATGCTTTTCTGATTGACTGAAAAGTTTCATCTCCATTAGCTTACAAAGTACATAAAGAATTTTTTCTTGAATAAAATAAAAGCTCTTAATTTTACTCAATGCTGAGACATTGTAGTGAATAATGCTCGACTTTCCACTAGATGGCAGAATCCTACCAAGTAATACTTTGTTAAACTACCACAAACTCCATCCCAAAAAGGCTACAACTAAGTCACCTTCGTAAGTTTTAACACTGAATAAATCATCATTTTAAAAGTTATAGATTAAGTACTCCTGTAAGGGACTAGGAAGCATGAAAAAAGGATCATAAAGGATCATAACGAACTGAACCCATCCTAAAATTTTGGCAGTGGAAGTCTCTAGACATTTTGTTAAAGTAACAAGTAAAGTGATGAAACAAAGTGTGAGAGAGGACTTAAAATAACACATGATGAAAGATAGCTCAAGGCTATGGTTTAAAAGATGTTTTGTTAAACTGGCGATGTATTTGTTTTGTCTTTTTGTTTTTTGTTTTTTTAATTCTCCATATATAAAGAGAGAAGGAATTCTCCAACTATACTATTGAATTAAATTTGGTTAGACACCAAAACATTTTCTCTTCTCCCCACTCTACATGCCCCCCCCCTAAAAAAATTCCCAACTGGATCAAGGAGTTATCTATCCAAGTGGTATAGAGAGGGGGACTAGACCTGTTATTTCATTGGTATAGGGAAAATCTCAAATAAGCTTAAGCTTTAAACCTATTTCACATTCTAAATATGTTTCTCTGCATTAATATTAATCACAGAAAGCTAAGACTGAATGATCCTTTGTTCCCCTAGTATGCTGTCTAAAATAAAACTTGTCTTGAAATGTATGTTAAAAAAATGCTTTCCAATTGAGCATTAGTCATGCCAAAGTTAATAATTCTCTACCTAATATTTATAACATATGCATATAGTCCTAAACATTTGCAAAGCATTTCTGTCACAACAATCCAGTTCACAATTTCCTTCATTTAACAGATAAGAAAACTGAGGCCAGGTCTGAGAAGTTCAATCACTTGCTCATGATCATACAGCTAGCAAATATTTGAGGCAAGATTTCAACCCAGGTTTCTTGACTAATTCTTCATAATTCTAGCCATGAAAGCACAATATCACCTCTCATACAATGGAAATTTTAGATTTTTCTCAATACTGTTATTCACATTTTAGTGCAATCTTAACACTATGGTATACCAACTTGTTCAAATTTCACTAAACCAAAACTGAATTCTAATCACAAAGAAATGCCCTGTTCTTAGGAGAAATTACCTTATCTGCATATTAGATATACAACCTCATAGGTAAGATGAAGGGAAGAAAATATCAGTTACAATAATACCAAGACTATAATAATTAACATATTGATTGTATTAAATATAAGAATACAACTTGAGACAGAAGAGATTACTCATGAGGAGACTAGTTGGAAAACTATTAGAATATAATAATCCAGTGATAAAAACTGAATTAAAGTGATGGTTGCTAATAGAAAAGAGAGGCCAATTAAAGGGAAGTGCTTAGCAACTAACTGAATTAGAGGGAACAAGAAAAAGGGAAGAGTCAACAATACTCTGAAGTCAATGCTGAGTGGCTAGAAGGTTATAGCAGTGTCATCAATAGAAATGGGTAAGTTAGGAGGAACATCATACTGTAAGCAGAGAAATTTGGTTTTGGAGAAGTTAGGATCCTTGAGGAGAGGAATGGTTTTTGCAATCTAGACAGAGATACTCAGTATAGCAAGTGGAAATGTAAGACATGTTCAGAGTTAAGAACTAGAAATATAGATTTAGGAGTCACATAAATAGAATTATAGGTCATAGGATCACTAGAGCTGGAAAAGGTCACCTAAGCCCAAAGTCCCTTTTTAAAGATAAGAAAATTGAGGCCCAGCGAGGTAATAAACTGTGGAAGTACTGAAACTGTCAAAGGAGAAGGTAGGGTGAAAAGACTAAGGACAGATCAGAAATGACCAAAATCAGGGGTCAGTAACTAGTAAAACCAGGGAAGGAGACTAAGAAGGACCAAAAGAGTAGGAGGAAAACTAGGAAGAACAATGTTTCAGAAATCAAAAGGCAAGACAGTAGCAAGAAAGTAGTCAACAATATCGAAAATCACAGAAACGTCAAACTGAGGACTAAAGAGGCCACTGGATTTAGCTACTAGGGTAGTAACTGGCAAGAAGCAGATTCGGTAAAGGAGTTGTGATAAAAACCAAATCGGCTGGAGGACTGAGGTGTGATAGGTGGTATAAAAGCAGAGGAAACAAGTGCAAACTGTTCTTTGAACCGATTTAATAACAAATAAGAGGAAAGAGATAGAACAATGGTTTTGAGAGGATGAACAGAATCAAGGAAAAGTTTTGTTAGGTTACTTGATTTGTTTTACACAGAAGTGAATGAAATCCAAGAAATACAAAGAAAATGAAGATTGGAAGACATGGAAGTGTGACAAAAGGAACGAAGTCCTCAAGAAAACGATAGTTAGATCTAGGGTTACATCTGTCAAAGAGGAAGAAAACCTCATTATTTGGGACAGGGAGAAAGGAAATAAAAGAGAGGCAAGTGTTCACAATCCATAGATATGGGTACTCACACTGCCTAAGAGAGGAGAGAAAGAGGTGAAATAGATGGAGTAGAAGCAATGAAGGTGAAGGTAGAACTGAGGATTTGAGGAAAAGAGGAGCAGACTTTGAATGGTGGCTACAGGGAAGGTGACAGGAAAGCAAGAAATGAATTAAAAAGGAGTTACAATGAAGGCTGATGACCTAGTTCGGGTTAAAGGGTATAAATAATAGTCCTGATAGTTTAATGACTTCCTCTAGCTATGCTA